GGCCTCGGCCGGGTTGGAGCTGTGGTCTTCCACACGTGGCTAGGGCCCAGGCACTCGCGACATTTTCCACTGCTTTTCCGAGGCCCTTAGCAGGAAGCTGGATTGGAAGTCGAGCAGCTGGGACTCTGCCATTATGGCTTGATTTGGCTCTGTTCCAGTCTAGCCCTCAGCTTTACATTTTGTTTGTTTAACAAAGTAAGACTTTGGCGCAGTTAATAGTGAGCATACATATTCACAGAAGATGAGGGTTCGATTCAGAAGTCATAGATCAACGTATTTCATTGTAATGGTGTACAAACTTTTAACTTGAAATGATTTCAAATTTCACATTGTAGCTCATCTTTAAGAAGACTCCTTCAGGAGTTGAGGGAAGTGTCTAAGGGGGGTTTTCCACCTGACCTGAAAAGGAATTGAAACACTCTTCTCTTTTCCAACAGAATATCTATCAGCTTGAGTGTTTAATGTGCTTGAAACAAGTAACAAAATGGGATTCACCAGGAAAGTGGATGTGAAAGTCTAATTCAAATGAGACATTAAAAGAGACTGGCTAAAATATAGAAGAAAGCCATTTTCCCTAAACTTTCTTTTTTTAATATTATTTTTATTGCAAAGTCAGATACATATAGAGAGAGGAGGAGAGACAGAGAAGAAGATCTTCCGTCTGATGATTCACTTCCCATGTGACCACAACGATCAGAGCTGCGCCAATCCGAAGCCAGGAGCCAGGAACTTCTTCCAGGTCTCCCACACACATGCAGGGTCCCAAGGCTTTGGGCCGTCCTCGACTGCTTCCCAGGCCACAGGCAGGGAGTTGGATGGGCAGTGGAGCCGCCAGGATTAGAACCGGTGCCCATCTGGGATCCCAGCACATGCATGGTGAGGACTTTACTCACTAGGCTACAGTGCTGGGCCCTAAATTTTGTTCTTTTTTTTTTTTTTCACTAACCATGTGTTAGTGTGAATATTTTTACAGTCTTACTTCCAGTATGGTATAGACAACAACTTAGTTAAGCCTTTTCAGGTTTTCAGTGATTTTCATAAAATGTCAAGTAATCCGGAGCTCAGATTGAGGAGTACTGCTTCTTTCTGTCTCCCCTTCTTTTGGCTCTTGTCCATATAGATATCTTATTTTTGTCTGTTTAAATCATTACCGTAAAATGATTTGTTATGGTGGTTAGTACAGTTACAAGTGAACTGGCGTAAATATATTGATATAAAGCTGTCTACAGAAAACATATTTGTCTTTTCTGAAAATTAAGTGAGACGTTGTTGAGAACTGGTAAAGAGAAGTGGCCTTGTGTAGTCTCTCCCGCACAGGTCCCTAGAGAGAGTTGCCCTGCGCACTAAGGTTGTAGAGAGGTTTCGGTTGCATCTCTCTTTTACTGTTCTCTCTCCAGACTAGAGAGATGTGTGTGTGACTTTCCAAGTACGTCAGTGCGGTGGCCGTGTGTGAGTTGTAATTACTATCTTGGCAGATTAGGTAACTCGGAAGACAGTGATTGGCTGTGCCGTAGAAGTGACTTAGAAGCGGTCATCTGCACGAAGCACAGTGACCCAGATCAGACGTGCTCACTCGGGGTTCCCGAGTGTGTGAAGGCCCCGCCAGCAGGGCATCGGGGTGCCGCGATGGCGAGGCTTCGGCAGGAGCTGAAGTTACCTGTATGTACTCGGTTCAGAATCTTGTGTTTTGATTTGCCGGTGAATTTGAATTGTTCCAAGTGTGATCACGCAGCTGGAAGAACTGTCAGTCTTAATTAGCAGGCTTAGAATAGTATCATCCTGTGTGTCCTTGGCCGTGGAAGTCACTGGCTGAAGAGTAAATCCTTGCACAGTCAGACATGGTTTGTAGCATCTTTATTCTTTTACAAAATTAATTCTTCTGTTAGTTAATTTCAACTTGTATGGCTTATTTAAATACTGGGAAAGAAACACTTAATAATTCTGTTTTGAAACTAAACTTGTATTTGATACCTGGGTAATTAAGTAGTTAATATTGGATTATACCCGTGTGTCTTAATAGTGGAAAGTTAAATTTGTGATGGGGATCTATCTATAATGGGTATTGTAATAACGGATTTTGTAAACCTCAGGATTTCAAAATGGATAGAGATTGTGGTTTATAGTATATTTTAAAATAGTTGCTTAATGTTTTTCTTAATACTCTGGCTTTAACTTGCTGAAGTTTTTTTGGCTAATGTGACCATGAAAAGTATAAATCCAAGATTTTGCTTTTAGCCAGGATTTAAAAAAAAAGAGGAATTGGTACAATGTGTCACGTCATTATGAAAGATGTTTCTGGCAAAAACTGGCTGTAATTCACATGTATGATTAAATTTTGATTTTTATCTTGTGAATGCAAGCCTTTGTTCATAAGAGATAAAATTATATTGCTGCGAAAAACATTGTCCATGATTTTTTGAAGTACACTCATGTATCTAAAGTTGTGTGGGAATGTTTTGGTTTTAATTTTGTGTTTCAAAGATTTGTTTACTTATTTGTGGGGCTGACGTCATAGCATAGCACGCCAAGCCCCCTGCCGCAGTGCCGGCGTTTCTTACTTGAGCAGGTTCGTGTCCTGGCTGCTTCCTTTCCTACCCAGTTCTCTGCTTGCAGCCTGGGAAAGCAGTAGAGAATGGCCCAAGTCCTTCGGACCCTGCACCCGCGTAGGAGACCTGCAAGAAGCTCCTGGCTCCCAACCTCAGCCAGGCCTTCGCGGTCATCTCAGTGAATCAACAGATGGACGAGCCCTTTCTCTCTGTGTCTCCTTCTGTGTAACTCTACCTAGATAAAACAAATCCTAAAGAACGTAGAGACGTGAATAGGCAGTTGTAGGTTAATGAATCACATAAACGTGTGTTCTCAGTGACCTTGTTCTGTGGTCCGATAAATGAAGAACCGCCATAACTGGCACTCAAAATACTTGGTTTTTGAGTTTTGTTAGTAGTGTGAGCTTAAACTTTGTGCATCTTTTATGGGCACTGGTTTGTGTCCTGGCTGTAACGCTTCTGATCCAGGTCCCTGTGAATGGCCTAGGGGAAAGAGCAGCTGGCCAACAGGGAGGCCCTCTGATGCCCGTGTGGCAGCTCGAGAGGAAGCTTTGGGCTCCTGGCTTCGGTCTCACCTAGTCCTGACTGGAGGGGGCCGTTTGGGGAGTGAATCAGTAGATGTAAGATCTCCTGCCTGTGTTCCCTGTCTGTGACTCTGGCAAATGGGGTGTGTGTGTGTGTGTGTAAAAGAAATATTGCCTTAAGAATGCAGCTTCCAGAAAGTAGATTGACTTGCTCTAAGCTTTACAGGTAATGCTTGCTGGGGGCAGTCTGGGTAAAATATGAGAATATGCAGAGGGCGTCTTTCTACATGTTACTTTGTGCATATATGGCAATATTTTTATGCTATGTGTAAAGATCAAAGGGTGAGTGTATTTTAAGTAAATATAATAAGTATGGTAACAAATATAATGTATATTGTGGAATAAATCGTGATAAAATAGCGTCTAACCTAATTCAAGTTGGCTTTTAGTCTTAGCTGGTTAGTGTTACTAATACATCCGACTGTGTAAATACAGTTGCATGGAAATAAAGAGCTTTGTTTGAAGGTGGAAGTTAACATGTCTTGTTTTGCATCCCCTCCTGACCAGTGTGCAGGCTAAATGAAAGTTTGGAATGGGAGCAGTTAATCCCTTTTAGAACAGACACTAAGCGACCTCTCCAGGTGGGACTTCTTGTTCTGTGTAGACAGAGTTTGTCTTATCTATGTATGTGCCCAGGGGCTAAGTGATACAGCATCACTGAAGGATCCTCAATGAGCATGACTTGGTTAGTGCATGGTGATTCATAATTATTCATCCCCGTGTTTTGCTGATGTCTAATGAAATACAAAAGCTGTGAGGTAGCTGGGTTAATCCTACAGGTCATTGTCTAGCTTTTTAGTCCATTGTGTGAAACGATGTCCCAGTCTGCACAGCCTGTCCCACACCTCTCAGTATGCAGACTTAGCAGGTTGTGTAGTGTCTCTGACCTTGCGGTGTGTGGGTAAGCACCAGCCGTTTGGAGTCATCGATACAAACATGGCTAAGCCATGTGATCTTACAGTTGGACATCCGTGTTTCATTAACGTGCTGTGTCTGATTCTAAATTTTCCATAGCAAATATTATGAGTTGGATTGCAAGGAACTCACATGAGAATGTGATAAAATGCGTTCGGTTTCAAAGATCAGGTGGAGAGAATTTGGACTCCTTCAAGGGTTAGTTTAATGAGAAACAATTGTCTTTGAATTGACTTTGTGTGTAGCCTCAAGCTACAGGCTCAGGCCTGGCAAGGGCCAGCGAGGCCAGATGTTTCCTTGTGCCATTCCAGCAGCCCAGTGGGCAGTGGGCCAGAGGGGGCTGCAGCTGGGTCTGCTTCAACATGGGACTGTGTGCAGGACTTGTGGACGGATGGAGTTTGTTCATTTATGATAGTATCTGCTGGCACCACGTCTTCTTCTGCCTGCTAAGTTCATGGTTATTAATGATTATAGCTGCCTCTGAAACCTCGTCGTTTAGACCTAAAGGCTGAAATTTTACTTTTTCAGTAAATACATTTGTTCATTTTTGTTGTTGTTGGACCAAAAAAAAAAGAGGGGGGAAGAAAATACAAAGGTAATTTTCACAACTGAACTTTGGAATTTTCCTGTAGGTTAAATTTTTGTATGGATTTTTCTTTGTGGGGAAATGAAAAATTCTTGTAAGTTATGTAGGCTTTTGGTTAACATGGATGAAAGTAAGATCACAGACAACCATGAAAAATGTTTGCACTCATTCCTTTCCGCTGTGAGAGTTCTAAATGGCCTGTGGTACGCTGGAAAGCAACGTGGCTGGCTGTGGTAGGGGTTCTGTCTTCAGAGAGAACGCAGCCTGCTCTGCATCTTTTTGGGGGAGGGTGGAGAGCAAGAGGGGGCATTTCCAATGATCTGTCCGTATATATATATCCATGAGTAAATGAGACTTCTTTGTTCTTAGGGTCCTGATGAAGAGGTTGTTGTGGACCTCGGCAAAACCAGCTCTACCGTGAACACCAAGTTTGAAAAAGAAGAGCTAGAAAGTAAGTTTGTCTAAAATAGGTCATTAGGCTTATCAGATTAGATTACTAATTAGTGACTGTTGGTGTCCTTTAAGCTGTACCCTCGCACCCCCATTTGTTGAAGAACAAGGGAGAGCATCTATTTAGAAGAGTGTGCAACACTTGGGTTGAGGTGCAGCAGCCACCCGTGTCACTGTCACCTGCGACAGCATGTTTCCTTGATTAGAAGCTCTTTGCTGAAGGTATTGACATGAGAGAGATTGATGCTTGTGTTTACTTAACCTGGAAAGCGGAAAGGCCATGGTGAGGACGGACACCTTTCAGAAGGCTGTTCCATGTGTGCTCTGAACGCTTTAGAGTGCCAGGCTGGTCAGCTGGAGCACCAAACTCTGGAGCAGACAAGTCACTTCCCACTTAGCTTGCCACCGATTTCTGTTTCGGAATTCACTCTTCCCCCCCACCCCCCCATGGCCTTTTTCTGCGCTAGAAGTCACTTAGAGATCAGGATCCTGCTGTGCGTGTAGTAATTCAGACTCCTCTAAGCTATCCAGCAGTTTTGAGTTCTTTACTCTTCTCGCCTGACCTTGGCACTTGGGAAGAGTGGTGGATATACTTGAGCAGTGATCCTCGGGGGATCGGTGTGGTTATCACAGGAGTAGACGAGATGCTATATGTGTGGGTCCGGTAGCACAGGGGTTAGTTAGATGGATACTTCATTGGCGAGGATAGCTCTGAACACTTGATCAAAGTGAAGTTCTTAGCAACATTTTAAGAAATAAATTACAGGAGAGGCAGAGAGAGAGCAAGAAGGAGCAAGTGTGAACTCTCCCTTCACTCCACATGCTCGCATCGGCTCCCACTGAAGTGAGGAACTGGGAGCCAGGAACTCTGTCCCTGTCTTCATTCAGGGAGTAGGAGCTGGCTGTTGCCTGGAGGGTCTGCGGGGTGGGGGTGGGTTTCCTGACAGGCCCCTGTGACCACCGAGGTGGTGCAGTGATGGTGTTCAGCAACAAGAACCACCGGAGACAGCCTGATCGAGCATGTCCGTTTATTGTAATACGAGCATAAACCTATATATACTAAGAAAGGGGCGGGCAGAAGGGCGCCTCCTGACAGTTCTCCCACCTAACAAAGGCACTGTAATTAGCTGGAAGGCCTGTCTTACCTCTTTAGACCCTCTAGTCCTATCATATGTCACATAGAACACTAAGTGCTAGCAGACAGGCTGTGGGTCCCGAGTAGGCTGGCAGGTTACACGGACCGCACCTGACATAGCAGGGATCCAGGGTGATCTTCCACGTCAGGGTCCACGTTAACAGGAAGTTAGAGTCAGGAACTGGAGCAGAGTCCAGCCCCGGCATTCTGACGTGGAACTTGAACGTTCTAACTGGTGTTTTAACCTGCACTGTCGACGCTTTGATAGCTTTCATGTATTTATAGTCTCATACAGTCCCCTTAAAGTTAGAATTGTCTTTGAGAAATTTCTTTGCGTTGGGTCATTGATCCATTGCCATTTTGACTTTTTCTTTAAACTGACTTTTAAAACGGGCATTAAAAGTTGAGGATTATTAGAACTTTTAAAAAGGAACCTCCATTTGCCTAGGAGATTATGGTTAGGGCCTGGCAGTTACAACAGCTAGGATAAGTCAGGATTTTTAGCTAATTGATGCATTTAATCTGCTACTTGTCATTCAGTGGAAACTCTCACATATTTCTGTCTTAGTACATGAAGGAAGGAGGTCCTTGAACATGTTCTTGGTTTCCTCGGGTTAACCAGGGGCCTCAGCTCTGCAGACCTGACACACATCTACATTTTGCTGTCAAGTTTGAGGGAGAGAGAGTGATTAGGGGCTGGGTGGAAGTGTAAGTGAAAGAAACAGAGCAGAGGACTCCAAAGACAGCCATCAAGGACTTCCGGTCTATGAATTCCGTTGTGTTCCCTGCTTCATTTATCTAGCTGTTTCTCAACTGAAGACTCACAGAATTTATCTTTATCTTGGTTCACTGGGGCTTGTGTGCCAGGACTCATTAGTGCTAATTGGAGGGACAACTTTATAATTCCCAGAGCACAGTGATGGGAATCTGACTCTTTAATTTCCACTTGTCTTGGTGTTTGGAAGGAAATAGTTTCACTAAAATAAAGTGGTAAAACCACTAAGGTTTCTTCTTATTATTATTGTTTTTTCAAGGTTTATTTATTTGAAAGGCAAAGTTTTAGAGACAAAGAGGGTGGCCTTCCATCAGCTGGCTCACTTCCCAAATGGACACAACAGCCAGGGGTGCGACGCAGGAGTTTCTGTTGGGTGTCCCATGTGGGTGCAGGTGCTCAAACACTCTGGCTCTTCGCATTGCTTTCCCAGGTGCATTAGAAAGGAGCTGGATCAGAAGTGGAGCAGCTGGGCTTTGAACTGGTGCCCATATGGGATGCCAGTGCTTCAGCTACCAGCCTAACTGGCCATGTCACACCACTGTTCCCTCCTTTATTATAGGGTTTTTTTTAATTGAGCTTTAATTTACATAATATATAATGTGCCATTTTAAAGTGTACAGTTCACTGTTTTTAAATGTATTATACAACTATTACCAACTCTGTAATCCCAGAAGGTGATTCTGTTTTGGTCAAAATGCAGTCAGAGTGATATATCTGCATACAGTAACTCTTTATCCAGGCACACACTTTTCTATGATTTAATTGGAGCATTTGGATCACTTACATTTAAGATATCCCTTAGTAATTTGGGCTTTATTGATTTTGAGGTTTCCAAAACCTTAAAAAGTTGGTATTTGCAGGGAGTTGTGATGCGCTTCCTGTGATTGTTACTTTTCCCCCTTTGGGATATCAGTAATGTGTTTCTGAACCTTGTCCTAGGCCATCGAGCGGTGTATATTGGTGTTCACGTCCCGTTCAGTAAAGAGAGCCGGCGGCGTCACAGGCATCGTGGACACAAACACCACCACCGGAGGAGAAGAGATAAAGACTCAGACAAAGAGGATGGACGGGAATCTCCCTCTTATGGTGAGACCAAGAGCAGGTTCCCTGTCGGTCGGGCCTGGGTCATGGGAAAGCATCTAGTTTTATTAACTGAGTCTTTTCAGGTCACTCTGTCTTCAGTGCTTTAGACACACGTGTTGGGGAGTGCCATTCAGTGTTGGGATGCTTTTCAACAAGAAACATTTGATTCCTAGGTTAAGATCTCTTTGGTATAAGTGAAAAAAAAAAAGTTAGGGAATTGGTTTTTTGGATTTTTTTTCCATCTTATTCCAGACTTGGAACTGTGAAAGGTAGGTTTTGCTATTTGATTTCCAACATAGCAGGATTTTATTTCCTTTATATTTGTTGCTTACATACCCTGTGAACCAACGTCTGGAATCCTGAAGCCGGTGGCAGGGATTTTCCCCCTTTATAAACCATGTTTTGTGACTATGAGGTATTTCCATTAGCCTGAATTATAGTATCTGTGCCCAAAGGAGGACCGTGATTGGATAGAGCTATTGACAGAGGACAGAGCAGGTCTGTCTTTTTTTTTTTATTACTATTTAAAAAAAGAAAACTATGGAAGAGAGAAAAACAACATTTAATGAAGATTAATAGAAGTGATAATCCACTTGGCTGGCATAAAAGAATGGGCCAGTATAGTCCACTCTTGCCTCATGAGCCTTACTAGGTGTGTGTTTTGTAGTAAAGTTACTGTATGAACCAAAACCCCTGTAGGTCCTAGTGCGCTTTGCTGAAGGCAAGTTTCTGTGAAGAGGAAGAAGAACGAAAAATTACTGTCTTGATTACAGTTCTAACACGAATGTAAGAAAGAAAATATTAGTGTTGTAGTAAAATTGGGTAAGTTCTGTGCTAAGCATTCTACTTTATGCATTCTCAGCATTTTTGAAAGATTATTTTCAGTTTATGGCCCAGGAAATTTGAACTCAGAAGGCCTAGATTATGAAAATGTTTAAAAACCTCCTCTGAGAGAGCCTGCCGAGGTAGTACAGTGTTAAGCAATCACGTATTTCGCAAAGGTCGTGTAGCTAATCAAGGCAAAATGAGCGCTGGGTTTAGAATTGCTAAGTGAACTTTGATGATGCAAATAATTGAGCTATTTATTTTTCTGTTCCCTATGATGAAGTAGTCTGGTTGAGGATATTTTAGACTCTTCCATTAGTGAAGCAGGCCTCCTGCTGTAATTCATACCACATACCAAGTCGCACAATGTTTTATTGAGATTTGCTGAACTGTCATGCTTTTATGTTCAGGCAAATAGATAAGAAGATATTTGACATTTAAATGGAGCGACAATTCCTAGAAAAGATGTAGTCTGCTGAAGTGCGTTTATTTTGGTTTCGGCTACCATTTTGTATTCTAGAATGTACTATGAATGAAATTGACTTCTCCCCTTATTCTAAAAAACACACTACACAGGCCTTTTGCTTCTGGGCATGATGGAATAGTGTAGGATTTGAGGTGTTCATTTCTTGTTTTTATTTTTAAATTATTTTCCTACTGGTTTCTCTTCCCCCGCCCCTAGCTTGATTGAGATATTAATAGAAATTGTATATATTTAAAATCTATATACCATGGTGACTTGGTGATATATGTTAATTCTGTGACTACTTCACATAGCAGACTTCATTTACAATAGCGCATCACTAATCACAGTGAATTTCAGATTCCCATGATATAGAAATCTATAGTTTTTAGAACTAACAGGGGGTCTTTTCTGGGAAGTCATCTGATCGGACAGGAGTCATACTGGAAATAGATGTGATTTCCACTCCTGTCCCCCAGAACAAGCGATTATAGTGATTCCAGGAAGAGGGTCTTGACACAGGGCACTTGGACAGCCATCACAAGCTGGACAAGAGAAGGGGCTTCTATAAGGAAAACAGCCCTACCAACACCTTAATTTTCAGCCTTGAAAGTTGAGCATTGAAGAGCAAGCAAATTATGTTCAAACCATTAACTTGTGGTTTTTATAGCAAAATAGAAAACCTAAACGCTTGCCAACAGAAACAGGAGTTTAAAATGTAAATGTGGACATCAGGAAGAAAAGTCACATGGTCACCTCAGTAGATCCAGCAAGAACAGTTGATTAATGCAGTGAACTCTGCTTCTTGACTCAGTGCTTTGTATTTTTGAATTTCTGGCGTTCTCTTAGCCTTTTGTGTTTTCTGTCTTGTTACTTGTTGCCTTGGCGTTCTGTATTGCTTCTTCCTGTCTTCCTTTAAGAAGTTCCTTTATGCCCCTAACTTTGAGTTCCTCACCAGTTTTTCCTCCCACTGTTTAGCTTCGCTGTATTTTAAATTTTTCTTAAAGTCTAACATTTCCACGTGTTTTTAGTGAGGAGGAAGCCCTGTTGTTGAGAACGGTTGTTCATGTTTTGAAATGTTGCTGGTTTTGGCTTCTTTTTAAATCAGTTATAGACTTGGTTGGACTTGTTTACTCTTTGTATAACAGTTTGTTATTTTTCTGCAAAGAAAGAAATTTTTTTCTGTGATGTAGGTCTTTTTAAATTTTAATTTATTTCTGAGTGAAGTGGGAACAGTTTTGAGTGAATTTCAATGTTTGCTCTGTCAAGATACCCCATCCCAGCGGGTTCAGTTTATCCTTGGCACCGAGGACGACGACGAAGAACACATCCCCCATGACCTGTTCACGGAAATGGATGAGCTGTGTTACAGAGACGGGGAAGACTACGAATGGAAGGAGACGGCCAGGTAATGCTGTTGAGGCTCACTGCCAAGTTGGCTTATTCAGTTTCTTTTGGTAATGACACTGTTAAATTGGAATTATGAGATACCCAGTGCTGTCAGTCAACGAGTAGAGGATTTTCCCCCTGTCCACGTATGGAACTTGTACCTTGAGGTTTTTTTTCCTCATCTCCTATTTCTTTCTGAATAAGCTATTTTATTACTATACAAAAGGATTCATGTTATCAAAGTCTTGCATCAAAGAAGCAAGTTTGAGGAGTTGATGTTTAGCCTAGGGGTTAAGGTACCATTGAGACTCCAGCACCTCACATTGGAGTTTGTAGTTTTGGTGCCCAGTTCTTGCTCCTGCTTTCAACTTCCTGCTGCGCAGTTGCAAGTGGTGGCTCACGTGGCTGAGTTTCTGCCCTCTGTGTGGACGGGCAACTTAATCCAAGGTCCCAGCTTTGACCGTGGCCTGACCTGAGTCACCACAGATAGCAGTAATTCATCACGAGCAAGTTTGCTCTCTCTTCTCTGTCTCTGCCTCTAAAAAAGAATTTGTTATTTTAAAAAAGAAATTTGGGAAAATCTTACATATTTTTTCCTATAATCAATGCAGGATTAAAAGTGGAAGAAAAGTTGCAGTTGTGTTTATTGTTCTTACTGTTGTAATGACTGTGGCAGAGGGGGAGCATCAAGAGGGGAAACTTGTGACTATAGATATTACGGACCCTTAGCTTAACTTGTGAAAATGTGTTGAATGAAAGTTTCTGTTTATTACATTGCAAAGAAGCAAATGAAATCTGTGTTATTTATAAAACATTCTAATGTATTCATTTAGGTGGCTGAAATTTGAGGAGGATGTCGAAGATGGAGGGGACCGATGGAGTAAGCCTTACGTGGCAACCCTGTCTTTGCACAGTCTCTTTGAATTGAGGAGTTGCATTCTAAATGGAACGGTCATGCTGGATATGAGAGCAAGCACTTTGGATGAAATAGCAGGTTACATTATTGAATTTTCTTATGTTTAAGGTGCACTGGAATTAACGAGTTGATTAAAGGATATAGAATATGATCTTAGACACTATTTTAAAAACGGTTGCGCTTCTGTTGCACACGCAAGTTCGAGGAGTAGACCTGGAAGAGTTTTGAGAAGAGATAATTGCATTGGACAGATAACTATAGTATCAAGAAGTACGGAACTACAGCCAGGCGCTCACGTGGAGTCCTCGGGAAATTGAGGGGCTAGAGTGTTTGGGGAAGACCCGTTAACTGCACAACATGAGTAGTGCGTGTAGAGAAAAAGCTTTGAGGAGGAGGAAGAAGGGAATGGGAAGTTCAAACCTAAAAGCCTGGTCAGGCCTGAATCTCAAGAACGTAAACCCTCTGTGCAAATGCCCTTCTGTTGGATGGGGGCAGGAGATGAAGTTGAGTAGTGATGAATTTGAGTGTGCAGCTTTCTTAGTATTTGCACCTGTTGGGGGAAAAAAAAATTCTGTAGTGTTTATGTTTTCAGAAAATCATTTTCAGGCTAAAAAGAGTTCAGTTTTACCTGATTGTTAAATTTGATTATGTGGTACAAATCTTTACAGTGTGAGAATGCTGGCTTTCTTGCTTTACATGAGTGAATGAAAAATTGAATTAGGGCTAGAATTACTGAATTTAGGCATAAGGATCTGTCGTTGGCCCAGCAATTATCTTGTAAAGCAGTATAGTACTTTCAGTAAATATTGTTTAATCCATAGTCTAATGGCTTGATTTACCTTCAAGTTGGTCCTTCCAGTTCTCTTTGATTATTCTTATCATAGTTTTGAAGATTGGACATTTAAAAAGTCTCAAATTGGTACCACTATTCAAGAATATTTATACATGCTTCATAAATTAAAGTCAAAAAATTTCCACTGCAGTAACATTAGTGAAATGTTTCTATAATTTGTTCACTTTTGTTGAATGGATGATATTCGTAGTGTACACCTAATTCAATTTTAAAAGGCGAAAGTTTCCAGAGGTATTGAAGGATCTAATTTTTGTTCTTGAGTTTCACTTGGAATTTGTTTATTCCCATGATGTATGCCAATGTGTTTACTAACAGTCAGTTCTTTTCCCCTTTGACTAGATATGGTACTGGACAACATGATAGCCTCCGGTCAGTTAGACGAGTCCATCAGAGAGAATGTGAGAGAAGCCCTTCTGAAGAGGCACCATCACCAGAACGAGAAAAGATTTACCAGTCGGATTCCCCTGGTTCGATCATTTGCAGATATAGGCAAGAAACATTCTGACCCTCACTTGCTTGAAAGGAATGGTGAGATAAGTTGTGGCATCCAATTTTTGATAACAGTTCTACTCTAACAGCATTCCAGTATGTTGTAATTAATACCTTGGGAAAGCAAAAATGGTTTTGCCGAATAGTTGGCATCGACCATTTTACACTCTTTGGAAATTTTCCCTTAACACCAGCGTTACTTGTGCCTTTGAAAAATGCCAGTTCGGAAATACCTTTACAGCATGGCAGAATGCGGAAGAAATCCTGTGGATGCAAAAAATGAATCCCGCACTATGCTGTGGTGGTATAAACGGACTCTACCTCTGGAATATTGACATTTTCAAAAGCTTGTGGAAAATAGAATTACAAACAAGCTTGTGTTGGTTGGACACAGGTTTGAACTAGCTGCATATTTTTTCACGTATGCGTACATTTCAGAATTGCAGCAGAATAAGCTTGCCTGTTAATTCTGTTCCTCCGTGAATGTTTTGAAGTACCCTAGTTTTGAAATATTATCTTCATGCCTGATCCTCTTTTTTTTTTCTTTTTGTTTTTATTCATGATTTCTTTTTGAATAGTTGATTGAAGAGGCATAAATTATCATCTGTAATTTGTTGTAAACTTTTGAATTCTAAATGTTAGGTGAGCCTTTATATATATATATATATATATATATATATATATATATGTATGTATGTATGTATTAGATTTTCCCTGGTGATACTTTTTAAATCTTTAAGAATTTAAAATCTTTAAAAGAAAAGAAAAGGTTGAAAAATGCATTTGCTTCTGCACTCGCATACACACACACACACAGAAAGAGATACTTCACGTGCTGGTTTATTCCGTAAGTGTCTGCCACAGCCTGCTCTGGGCCAGGCTGAAGCTGAGAACCCAGAGCTCAGCTCGGGTCCCCCCCAGAGATGGCAGGAACCAAAGCACTCAAAGTGTACCTGCTGGGAAGCTCAGGCTGGGGGTGCAGCTGGGATTTGAACCCAGACACCGGTGTGAGATCCAGGCATCTCAAAGGTTTTGTTAACTGTTGTACTAGACTCCTGCCCCATCAGTGAGTCTTTGTTGTTGTTGCTTCCAAAATATATTTTATTTTCTTTCCATTGGTCTCATATACTTTATTACTGTTGTTGTTATTTTGGTGATTTTTGCTGTACTCTGAGAGCACCTCACTTGTTATCTTTGCAGTTGATGGTGGCTCAGACCCAGGTCAGCACGGTCCAGGTCTGCACTCTTCAAGTTCACTCATGTAGACTACAGGAAGAATGTTTTTGTATTGTTTGCCTCTGGCACTGTCCTAAGACTAGCACACTTGGAAATTTTGCCTTTTCTTATTTTCCTCTATGTTAGGCAGAGAAATGTTTCGCTAGGATACTGTTTTGTCTCTTAAGGACTACTTCTTTGATGGGAAAACCGAGTGCAAAAGCTCGCGATCGCTCAGGAGGAGCCCTGTAGCTTCTCGGGGCTGTTACCCAAAGCCTGCAGGAGGATTAAAGTGACGAGTGAAGGATGGGATACGGTGTCTTTGCCGTTTTTGAACTAATGACACAGCTGTTAAAAACTGACAGCCACAGCTAAAACTGACCACAATCATCTTTTGGAGCTCAGTGTAAGATACCTAATTCAACAACCATTAAAACTCGCTTTAGTCAGCTTAAGATTATGCCTTGGTATGTTCAAGGAACCAACCATTAGGACTAAGTGAATGTCTCCTCCTGTGGACCTGCGTTCATTTAAAGCAAACTGTAAAGTACCTTTTACTGTTTGTTTGTTTTTTACTTGCTTCATCTTTCACTTGTTATGTGTTCTGTGCTTTGGTGAAATGTCATTCACCCAGTAGGACTGCTCCGCCTTTGTTCCTCAAATGCAGTGAGTGGCTCCTGATATTTCCTCCCATCTTTTTTTGGTTACTTTTAGCAGTAAGATAATGGCTCCTTTTTTTCTTAATTGCTACTTTATAATTTTTTTAAACTTTATCATTAAAAAAAATTTTTTTTTGCATGTAGCTTTTCTTAACAAATTGGCATAAGCTGGTGATGGTTATGGGTGTGACATTCATTTTTTAAAAATGTTTTTTGAGTCTCTGGAGCATGCGGTTTTGATAACTTACACCGTGTGGGAGTTGACTGTTGTAAATTCTCATGCTTTTCCTAAAAGAGGAATGCCGCTGCATTAATCTGCACTTAATAGGAAATATCAAATGTTTTCATTTTCTGAGTGTGCATGACTTTTGGAAATATTCTGGAGTTAGCCTCACTGCTATTGGTGAGGAATATTTCTTACCCGGTTCAAATATTCTACAAAGGATCGTCAGATGGCTCCTGGAAGCTGTGTTTTATGAAAAAAATTAGGCATGGATTTTGACATTTCCTGTCTTCTAATTTCCACTTTTCCATGAACGATTTGAACCCTGTTCATGCATGTATGTGGTTAAATTGAGCTGCTATATTTAGAAATGAGAAGCATTTTTTTAGAGCATCTAAGAATATCTTAGAACAACACTATATTTCCTTTAATGTTGACTTTGTTTCTGTAATCAGAAACGTTTTTATATTTTGCCTTGTTTTTACTGTTGGCTTGAGAGAACCATCAAATAAATGTTGCCCTGGTGACCTTACAACAAATTGAAACCGTTTTTAGGTTAGGTATTGTTAGGTATCATTAATATGGACTTCAGTAATGAGAAAGAAGTTATCTGTAATCTTTTGACATGACGTAAGAAAAAAAATACATTATGCTGTTCTGATAAGTTTTGGTTTGGATTCTGTTAGATTTTTCCTCTTCATTTTTATTTGTACTTGTTTAAGCAGCAACTTTGTGCTGATTTTGGCCCTTTTAAATATGCCACATTGTTGAACATTCTAACTTGTCCTGTTATCCACTAGCAGCCAGCTTTAACATTATTTTGTTTTAATTTCTTATTTGATTTATCTTCAGGGAGCTAATTATAATGCAGATAACCTCCCATTGACTTTCTAACTGTAAGAAGCTGACTTGCTATCGCTGAGCGTGTGCATGTGCCACTGTAGGCCCTTGCTGGTAGGCCTTTACACCACGTGTGATGCTGCTGTCTCGTTGGCCTCCTGCGTTGAACTTCATGGTTTTTTTTTTCCTCCCTTTGTTTTTGTCTCAGGGGAAGGCCTCTCAGCCTCCCGCCACTCTTTGCGAACAGGTCTCTCCGCCTCAAACCTTTCACTGAGAGGAGAATCGCCCTTGTCTCTTCTTCTCAATCACCTTCTTCCTTCTTCGAGAGCTGGAACCCCGGCAGGCTCGAGGTGTACCACCCCAGGGCCCACCCCTCCTGGCAGTCCTCCTTCCAGCCCTGGCACCAGCCGCCCGGCCGCCGCAAGTTCCCAGCAGAGTCGGCCGCAGGCCCCACAACTGCTGGTCACACCTGCCCGTGATGGTATTCCCACAGTAGTAATCCATCCGCCCGAGGAAGACTTAGAAGTGTCGCCAGGCCAGGAGCAAGACGAGAATGTTGGCTTAACTCCAGGCAACTATCCCAAATCTGCCATGTGTGGCGCTTCTGCCTCTGGGTCACTTGCACTGGGAATGCCTTTCAGCACATAACTTCAGCAGCCTACGCAGATCATGCTTTTCATTCATTTTGACTTTTGCATGTATTCTCTTTTTTTTCCCCCCCCCTTATATTGTAGAAAAGAATAGAGTTACTAAAAATTTAGAAGGCTCCATAGATTAGAAGTCCTTTCAGAAATAGTCACTGAGATTTTAGAGGTCAAGACATTTGGTTCAGAAAAATGTGCTTTGTTAAAATGGACATTTTAATTGGCCATGATTTAGTATTAATTTTTGGAACAGTGGCTTTTCTTGCATTTCACTCAGGTGAATGAGTATTACCTTGAACTTAGGTGTAATGAGGTTATTTGCATTTTATCCATTTGAGACTTTTTCTTGGAGGATTGTATTACATTTTAGCCTTTCTAAGAAAAATAGAATCTCATTTTTATCTCTGAGAACATTAAGATTCTGTAATGACTGTGCAGAATCATTATTTCAAGAGTAATGTTATATTTTGGAATGTACTTTAGTCACCTATTATGCAATATCTAGTCTTTATCCAGATTTTCCTTAGTTTGGAAGCAGAGGCCCTGTTCTTCATTTCTTTCTTTGTAAAGGTGTTTTTTTCTGTTTTGTTTTTTGTTTTTTTAATTTGAAAGACAGTTACAGAGAAAAGGAGGGAAGAGAGGTAGAGAGCTTCTCCAGTTGTACGTGTCTGCCCCATGTGCTCTCAAATGCGCTCAAACTTTCAGCAACAGAAAAGTCAGTTATTGCTGTTGGAGAGCAAAATTAAAAATGAAAGTACTATAGATAAGTTGTTTTTTAAAATTTGATTCGAGCGGCAGAGTTACAGAGAAATCTTCTGTCCACTGGCTTACTCCCTAAATGCACACTGGCCAGAGCTGGGCTGATCCAGAAGCTAGGAGCCAGGGGATTCTCCTGGGTCTTTCTCAATGGTGCAAGGGCCAAAAGACTTGACCCTGCTGCCTTTAGCAGGGAGCTAGATGGGGAGCAGAGCAGCTGGGGCACAAGCAAGTGCCCACATGGGATGCCACAGCCACAGCTGGAGCTTAGGCAACTATGCCACGGTGTAAGCCTCTCTGAGTATGGTTTTTTTAAATCTGATTTTTTTTAATTATATAGTTTTTTTTTTCTTAAAGAAATACCATGTCTGTGTACTCTGTGCTAATGGTGGTGAGCTTTGTGATCTTCAGTTTTGAGTCTAAGGGATTTGATGTAGAAGCAGAGGCTCATGGGAGAATTGGTATCAAATATCTGACATGCTAATTTTGAAAAAGGGGCGGATCCAAGTGACCAAGTCAGCCAGGTAACTTCAGGATACGTCTTCTGGCTTTATCAATATCGAGTTCTGCTTCCTCTTCACACATTCCTGCCATATTCCTACTTTCCCATAAAGCCCTTTCATTCCACTGTTCTCTCACAGTTCTGGCAACTGGGAAATGGTATTGCAGGTGCTTGGCTGACACATCCAGAGGTTATTAAGCATTTGAAAGCATGTAATGCTCAGGTATGGTTGCTACCACAGTCTCCTTAATATGTCTCTCCTGGTTTTCTTGTGTAGATTTGGTAGAAGTCTCTGGAAAACTTTTATATCCCTTGGGCAAGAAAAGGACTCTTATTTTAGAAGTTTAGGGACAAAGGTCAAAGAAGAAAAATCTTCATAACTTTTCCATGCTGGGAAATGAGTTGTCTTAGGAAATCTTTTTTTTTTTTTCCAGACTTGATTACCTTTCCCAGAAATTGAGCTCCTGGCTATAAGAGATTGCAAGTGCTTGTTTGCTTTTGAGAGTGAGATTTGGGGTGGAAGGGGCGTGGAACAGCGGATGTTACAGAGCTGTTTGTCACTGGGTTTGAGCAGTAAACGCAAAGGACTTGGTTTGAATTATTCATTAGTTTCAATATGCTATGTTCCACAGAAATAATGCTCTTGGAATTTTGAAGTGTTTCTGATATGCTTGAAATTCTGGATTTGAATACCCATTTTTAAACAAAAGTTTGTTTTTACTTATCCCTATGACATTCAGTGTAGGCTGTAATTTGTTTATGTTCTTGGACTTAATGGTAGAGATCTGTGTGGTGTACTTGAATGATAAATAGTTGAAGTATGAATTTTTTGTAAAGGAATATGCTAATTGGTGTTTTGGATTATTTTGTTGTATGTATCTCTACTGAATATCCCTTGAGATGAACATATTAATGCCTGAACCATGCATACATATCATGTTAGTCCAAAGAACAATCTGTGTAAACCCAGGCAAGCTAATCACAGGCGCTGCTGGGGTCTGTTCCATACCTTCCAGGCGACAGTGTATGTTCCGGTTAGCACAGCTCTTTGATGGTAACGTCCTTACTCCATGCAGTTATGCTGTAATTTTATTATATTCCAAAGTCATATTTCATAGGCATAATGACAGCAGACTTTAATGCTACTAAACAAAGCAAATGAAACTTCTTAAGCAAACATTTGTGAAGATTGTGAGAAACTCAGCTTATACCCTGGCTGGTGCAGCTTTGAGGTTTTCTGAACCGTCCTTGGGTGTCCTAGGAGGTGTGCAGGGGAGTGTGGTCGGGCACCCGAGGACGCTGGGGGTCACACGCATGCCTGATGTGCTCAAGTGCATGCCGGAAGCGTTTGTGGTAGCGCTCAGTCGGCCTCTCCTCCTGTCTTTTCTGGTCCCGCACCAACACACTTTTTTTTTCTTTTTTTGCAAAAGGCCACCAGATTTCATAAATCCTAGATGTGTGACTTTAAATATTTAAAATATAGCTTCAATTATTGCTTACCTATTTTAGTTTTGCTAGTGTGGTACTAACACTTGGCACGGCACCTATGCTTAAATCCTAAACCATCACTTTCAGGATGTCAGCAGAGTCAGGCTACAAAAAGTGAATTTTGTCCTTACTAATTTGGACTTGTTTGTTCTTAAACACAGGTATTTTGGCCTCTCCCCAGTCTGCCCCTGGTAACTTGGATAGCAATAAGAGTGGAGAAATGAAAGGTAACGGAGGTGGAGGAAGCAGAGAAAATAGTACTGTTGACTTCAGCAAGGTAATTCTGTCATTAAATAATGATTTTCAACACAGCTCTTGTTAAAGGAAGCACTAGCGATTCGTGGCTTTGTTAACATATATATAAACGATCTTCCAGCAGACCATGCTTCCTAAGCTGTACGTGTTGCTTGTGATATGTATGTTAAGATCAGACACTGTGAGAAAGGTTAGTTAGCCTCTGAGTTACCTGAAGAATTTCGCACATTTACCAGTTGTAGAGACAAACAATAACAAGAGGATGTGTGAGCAGCATGTTATGTCCACGTGTATCTAGACAGCTGGCCTGGAAGGTCAGTGCCTCCTGAGCTGCAATCGCATGTTCTGGGCTTCCCGCCGTTAGAGAAGTCAAGTCCGACAACGACGCAGCAGCGCTAGTCGCAGCCTTGCTGGGACCGTGATGGTGTCCCGTGCCCTCTGGTGCACAGCTCTAAGGAAATGTCTGCTTTCCCTTTGGTGGGTAGAAGCATGGAATTAGAAAATCCGTCTGTATTTTGTTGTTGTTGGGTGACTAGTTGGAATAGGCCAAAAGCAAGCAAACAAACAAAAAACAACTGTCCACCTGCTTGGAAAGAAAGGAGGAGGCAGAACCAAAAAAAAGCTAAGTTTAAAATGTGGCTGAATTTAAACTGTACTTGAAGAGAGCTCCTTGTGAAAAATCGGTTCTGTGAAGCTGTGGAAATGTTTGAGTATGTGTTGGCCACAGAACACTCAATACTTTTTTTTAGATCTAGTGTTAGATTTTTTATTAAGTAGGATTATGTCAGATGAGGTTGGACTTTCTTAGGCCTAGTGTTCTACAAAGCTGCGTCTACGAGTCGTGTAAATAATTGGCTCAGCGTGGCCGAGCTCCGTGTTGTTGCTTTGGGGGCATGGGCTGTGCAGGAAGGCTGTTGCACCCTTTGGTCTTGTATTTCTAAGCTGACATTCTTGTGAAATGACTCGATGAGTGTGATTTGCATTGTAGATGTCGTCTAGAGACGGCAGTTGCCCTTGATTTTTTTGTTCCTCTGTCACAGTTTTACTTTTTTCCACTTGGCCTATCCCTGTGTACACCTCGTTGTTTCCTGCGGGCAGGAGACTGCCTCCTGGCACTGTAGTTGTGGCACACTGGGTGTGGGACTCAAGAGGCCTGCCGTAAGTGCTGGTTTTATTTTTAATAGCTAGCCCTGTCAGTGGTTGTTGAGTGATTTGTGTGGAACTGCATATTAAGAAGTTCACATACTTGGATAATTATGTTTGTAACCTTCTTGGAATTATACACAAGCAAACTAAATTTCATTAACAGAACATTATCAAATATCTATACCATTAAGGATTGCTTACCTTCATTTCAAATATAAGTTTTTCTCCCTACTTAACGAAAATACTCAGAAATGCCCAGTTTTTCTTTTTTGGAACAGGGACTTCACAGAATCTATAAAATACAAAGACATTAATTTATTTCTCTTATTTAAAAATCTGTGAAATGAAGATTTTTAGCACTGTGTATAATTTCATGAGCCATTGTTAGCTTGTGAATTACGTATCTGTCCTTTTAGTTTCTGATGAATAGTGCTGTTGTATTAAAAAAGTATTCTCCAATTTACGTCTGAAGATTTACACCTGAAGTAGTGAAGACTCGTGGTTAAATGGTAGTTTTGATGAATGCGTTCTGCTTGCCTTCCTGTATCTGTCTACTTTCTTTGTGAAAATGTTAGCATTTATATCTATTACACCTGTTAAGTTGTCTTGCTGAACAAATACCCCATTTCCCTGTAGTCTTTACACATCATACGGATTTTAATAATGACATATTTATCAATAGGTTGACATGAATTTCATGAGGAAAATTCCTTCGGGAGCCGAGGCATCCAATGTGCTGGTGGGAGAGGTGGACTTCTTGGAAAGACCCATCATTGCATTCGTGAGGCTGGCTCCCGCCGTCCTGCTCTCCGGGCTGACCGAGGTCCCTGTTCCCACCAGGTGAAGAGCTCCTTTCTCAGCGTGTTTCTGACCCAACACTTTCAGTCCATTAAATGTGCAAGCACGAGCACGTAGCTTTATGTCATAAAACCTCGCTTTCATAGCTGATATTCAGTCATCATGTCAAAGGTTTGAAGCAGTAAAGCATGAAGGAGTTGTCTTTTTTCCCCTCAGCAGTAAAATTACCATGCTTTTGCAAAATGCTTCCTGACTTTGAGAAATTTTGTATTTTAAAGTTTAAGAATCAGTTAATTGCTTAAGACTTAATATTCTGTGCAGGTGCTGCGCCAGAATGGAATTAAATCCTTCCTCGACCATTTAGTTTTTATGGGGACTCAGGTTTTCTAAATTTCATTTGTAATCTGAAGGCGATATCCCACTGGGTTCATGAAATCAAATACTGCTTTTGAATTAGGCAAAATGCTGCGTTGTGACCTGACAGCATATGTTGAGTGTGACATTGTAAGTAAAAGCTAAATCAAGGATAGCATCTATGATGGTAAGAGTAATCCGTATATTAGGTGTTAACTAAAGGAGCTGAATTGCAAATGAAACTTATTGTTTATACTATTTTTATGATATGAGAAAACAAAGAGTTAATAGGAACTTGATGGAAATGTACTTTCTGGTTCTAGTTTATTCAGTTGCAGTAATGCTGCAGTGTTGTAAAAAGCGTGAATTCATTTGTAAATTCTCAAGCTCAGGTTAAGCAGCTCCAATTTGTAGAAGTATGAATGTTAATTTTTACTGTAATGCTAAACGTTACGCAGGAAGAATTCCACATCGTCATTAGAATAACAGGAATTTTGTTGTTAGATCTGCTGTAGCAAATGGAATCTCCTTGCTTTTTCCAAAGGAATTAATTGAGTCAGTAGGCTGAAACCTTTTTATTGACAGCCTTGGATTTTTGTTCAGAACTTACATCCGAGGCATTGTGGCTCTTTTTGCGTCAACCATTAAGCTGTTCTATTTGGCGGACCTTGCTTTCCGTGCTTACTGACAGTACTTTCTTACTAATTTCCTGTAGTCCAGATTTGTTTCCTTACTCTAATCCAAAAGGATGCAGAAGAACGTTTGATTTCGTAGTTACTCTTTTCTTCCAAGGAAGATGTGAAATGCTAACTCGGTGGAGAGCTAGTCTTCATTCAGTGTAGTCATTGGCTCGGAGTGGGTAAGGGGTGGAAGAAAGGCCCAGGTGCTGGCTTGTTTGACATCTGAATGGGAATTTTTCTATATCAGCCTGGACTTGTGTGCGGTGGTGTGTTTTTAAATGCGTCTGTTTTCCTGTTTCCTTAGGTTTCTGTTTTTGTTGTTGGGTCCAGCAGGCAAAGCCCCACAGTACCATGAAATTGGAAGGTCGATAGCAACGCTCATGACGGATGAGGTAAGCACACACCGAGATCCCACTGCGGTGGACTGATTGTGAAACGTGTAACGAATTGAACCGTAGTTCTCCTGTCTCTCATAGGGACTGTAACATAATCGTGCTTGCTGTCTGTACTGTTTAATCTCATACACCCTTCAACTATTTGGTAAGGTTTCCGAGACATTTTTCGTCAGGGTCATTGGATACTTTCTAATATTCTTTGTGTACTTACTTGGGGGGCTGACAGTGAAGTGGAGATATCTCCCGTTGGCTTCTCTTTGGGGAGGAAGTTGAGCCCGTTGCTTGTCAGACGTGTCTGTCGTGTGTATGCAGCCACACATCTGGACCAGCTTGAACATCTCTGTGCTGTCTCAGCCAGCCAGTCGTGACTGTGCTGCTTTGAGCTCTCAGTGTGTTCCTCGTCGTGCCTGTTCTCATGTTTACTGCATCTCCTCTTTCTAAGTGACTACCCCAGTGACCCTTTTTGGTTTTTTGTCTTATTCTTAGTCTTAGTCTTCCACCCTCACATTGCCGATAGCATGCAGATTTGAATATATGGATTCTTGACTTCCCATTGTATATTTTATCGCAGGAGGTCCCCCCTGAGCTGGCCTCTGCCAGTGTCTTGGCTTACACACCCTGTGCCACTCATCTTCCTCCTGTAGCTTGCCCTAGCCAGCTGTTCTTGCACGTCCGTTTCTTTTCCATTCTTTGTGTTCATTTTCTCAGAGGGTTGATCATCACCTACAATTACATATTTATTTAATTGATTGTTTCGTTATCCTAGAAATAATGGATAGAAGCAAGTAGGCATTATTCTAGGGGAACCGAAGGTGGGTAAGAACCTCACCTGTCTGTTGTACTATCCATAATGACCACATTTATGCCTAGCAAGGAGTAGCTGACCGGAAGATATCTGTGATGAACTTATATAAGTAAAATTGTTTCACTGTTTATGATGTCATAGAAGTAAAACGTTATTTTATATCTTAATGAATTTATTAAGTACTTCCCATACCAAATTAAAAATAAAAATGTTTTGGATCTAATGTGATAGTGTCTAAAGTCCTCGCCTTGCATGTGCTGGGATCCCATGTGGGTGCCTGTTCGTGTCCTGGTTGCTCCACTTCCCATCCACCTCCATGTTTGTGACCTGGGGAGACAGGGAAGGATGACCTCAGGCCCTTGGGGTCCTGCACCCAGTGTGAGGGACCCAGAGGACATTGCTGACTCCTGGCTTTAGTTTAGCTTGCCCTGGCCAGTGTGGCCACTTGGAAGGTGCACTGGCCAATGGAGGATCTTTCTCTTTGTCTCTTTCCCTGTGTGTCTGCCTTTCCCATAGAACAGAATACATTTTTTCAAGATTTTTTTTTTTGTATTAAACAGTCACATTTACAAAGAGGAGAGACAGGAAGATTTTCCATCTGCTAATTCACTCCCCAAGTGGCTGCAGCAGCCAGAACTGACCTGATTTGGAGCCAGGAGCAGGAGCTTCTTCTGGGTCTTCCACGTGCGTGCAGGAACCCAAGGCATTGGGCTGTCCTTGACTGCTTTCCCAGGCCACCAACAGGGAGCTAGAGGGGAAGTGGGGCCGCTGGTTCTGGAACCTGTGCCAAAATTGGATCCCGACTCTTGCAAGGCGAGGCCTTTTAGCCACTAGGCTACTGTACCAGACCCAGCAAAGAAATCTTTTAAAAAAGAATAAGTTTGTCTTAAAGCATAATTGTTGCTAGCAATTCATCTGATAATACTAAATGGGTTATACAGATCTTTTCCAAGGTAGGTGAAATACCCTGCCTTAGCTAAGAGCTTTGTTAATAAATTATGAATTTTATTCGCTTCATGTAAGGTGGATTTGCTTTGTGTTTCAGTTTTAACATCCTTGCTTTTTTTTTTTCCTTGTAGATTTTCCATGATGTAGCTTATAAAGCAAAAGATAGAAATGACCTGTTATCTGGAATTGATGAGTTTTTAGATCAAGTCACTGTCCTGCCCCCAGGAGAGTGGGACCCTTCCATTCGCATAGAGCCACCCAAAAGTGTTCCTTCTCAGGTAAGAGCCCCGACCTGTCCTTTCTTTAACTCAGAAATCAAAACAGTGAAAAAGTATACTCAGAAGTTTTCCACTCATCCCCTCCCCTCACTTTGTTATGTCTACCTTCTGTTGATAACCATTTGCTATCAGTTTATGTATGTTAGATTTTGTTCAGTATCTGGAAATGCAACTGCTATTTCTTCCCTTTCTTTATTAGAGTTCTTCCTCCTCTGCCTCCCTTCCTTCTTTTTAAAGTTTATTTCATTTTGTTTGAAATGCTGGAGTTACAGAGGGAGAAGGAGAGACAGAAAACTTTGATCTGCTGGTTCACTTCCCAAATGCCTGGGATGGCTTGAGCTGGGGCAGTGCAAAGCCAGGGACCCACGGCCACGGAGCTGTCTCTTGCTGCTTTCACAGACACTTAAGCAGGGACTTGGATCAGAAGTAGAGCAGCTGAGACTAGAACTGCCACCCATGTGGGATGCTGGTGCTGCGGGCAGAGGCTTAATTTGCTATGCCATGGCACCGACCCCAATTTTCTTTATGGAAATGGGTTGGGTGACCGTTTGATTTTTTAGTTTGCATCTGTAGTCTTGCTGCTGCATACACATTGGTGCTGTTAATCTGTCTCTGTAGGAGCCTTGAGCCCAGGGCCCTCCTGGGATAGCACATCTCTTCTGGCCTCTCTTCCCCTTCTGTCTCCTTCCCGCTCCCTTTTCCCCCCGTAGCTCCAGCAACTTCTTAGACAAATGAAAGGCTTGTATCTTTGTCTTCAGGTGAGGGGCAAAAGCGGCTGTATCTTGGGAATAGCTCCTGCTGACTTTGTAACAGAAATATAATACCCCAACAATAATTTTAAAGATTTTGGTGAGGGAAATTTTTTTCTGAGGGAGATGTTTTATTTGAACACATTTATGCTCATATATATTTTGAAATGGTGTGTATTTATATGTTGATATCAAGTTGAATTGGAAGAGTTAATCAGAAGCTTAAAATATTAGCAGAAACGGGGGGGAGAGCATTAATCTAAGTGCTTAAGATGCCATTTGGGATATCAGCATGCCGTGCGAGAATGCCTGGGCCTGAGTCCTCCTGTTCCAGGTTCATTTCCAGCTTCCTGCAAATGGATGCCTTCCGAATCAGAGTCCCTGCGCCCTCATGGGAGGTCTGGATTGAGCTCCTGGCTCCTGGCTTCTGCCTGCCCCAGTGCTGTGGGCATGTGGGGAGTAGAACAACAGACAGAGCTTTGCCTCTCAGATAAATAAAATTTTAAAAATGGTTTGTTTAGTTTTATTGGAAAGGCAGATTTACAGAGAGAAAGGTTTTCGCTCTGCTGGGTCACTTCCTAAATGGACAGAACTGAACTGATCTGAAGCTAGAAGCCAGGAACTTCTGGATCTTCCATGTGGGTGCAGGGTCCCAAAGCTTTGGGCCATCTTCTGTTGCTTTCCTAGGTCACAAGAAGAGAGATAAATGGGAAGTGGAGCAGTTGGAACACAAACCTGCACCTTTATGGATGCCAGTGCTTGCAGATGTAGGATTAGTCAATTGAACCACTGTATAAACCTCAAGTCAATCAAAATTAAAATAGATGCATATTGATAGAAACAAATGCTAGATTCTATTCTGAAGTACCTTTTATTTAAAAGGAAGTTAACGTTAAGAAGCATTTTGCCTAAGCACCCATGTAGTACCTGTTTCGCTAAACACAATTTTGGTTTTGTGATATTCAGGAAAAGAGAAAGATTCCCGTGTTTCCCAATGGATCTGCGCCCACGTCGGGTGAGATTCCTAAGGAGGCCGCCCACCACGCCGGCCCCGAGCTGCAGAGGACCGGACGGTGGGTACAAAACCTGTCAACCTTTGGAGATTAGGGATGGATCTGATGAAAAAGACATGAAAGTTACATGCATTCAACAACAATTTTAATAACATAGACTGAGCTTTAATTGGAAATTAAAATAGGGTAGTGTAGTATATCCATTGCCTGGATGACAGGTTCTTGAGGAAAGGCGTATTTGAGCCAATGCCAAAGTAGGTGTATATATCTGATTACACCATGCTGATGATCTCCAGAAAAGAACCTGAGTATTGCGAGCTGCAAGCACTGCTATGCAAAGCAATATTTTGTAAAAGCAGAAAAGTGTTAATGGATGTTTCCATGCTAGAAAAAAAAAGCACGTGACAACTGATCCTGTAGTCTTTGTTTTTCTAAAATCAGGGTATTTTGTGTAGGCACGCTGTTGGCAATTTGGATGCCCTGGCTAAAGGTTGTTGTTTTGTAAAGGAGAAATTAGTCACTGCTATGCTAAATGCAGATTTTAAAGTGGTGAAATTCACAATCAATTGCTTAATGATATGTATCCTCTCTTTGTAGGATACATAGTAGGATGTCCCCAGGCAACAGGGCTAATTCCCTATTCCCTGTAGAGTTAACATCTACGAATCAGTAACTGTGAAGTCAAGTACTCATTGATCAGTTACCTGGTAACTTCCATAAGTCATCTGCCAAGTAATCAATTCTTGATTTGATAGTTTAGTTTCAATTTCTAAATAATGATTTTTTTATTATTTATTAGTATTATATTTTTTTACTGTAAGCAATTTTTTGATGGGGTAACTGCTTCACATGTCAGTGTATGTTTAGGACTTATTTCACCAGTTCAGAATGGTAAAGTTTCCAACACCTGAATCCTTTTGAAAGTTTGAGATTGATGCATTTTTGGTTTGTTTATTCTTAGAGTTGGCTTAAGTATTGAGTCAGTATTTTCGTTACTATTCTAAAATTGTTGTAGACACCAAACATAGTAAGTTAGGAAAAGGTCCAGTCTCTCATGGAGTTTGTATTTTATTGAAATGTTTCCAAGTGAGGTGTGTCCAAAAGTCTGATTTGAAAGTGACAGTTGAATTGGTATGGTTTTGATGTGTAATTTTGAATTTGCTAATTAAAGCCCTAATCTTAGTACTGTAATACTAGTTTAACTGCATATATAGTAAATTAAACATAGCGAAAGAATCTTTAAGGACATCTATATGATTAAATTAGTATTTCTGGTGCGTGCTGGGATTATTATTTGATCCACTTCTTAAGCATCCAATCATAGCACTGTATATTTATGTTAAAGAGCATTGAAATTAGAATTGCCAGTGTAGGATTTGTGACAGTTGCCTGTTAGCTTTTATGGTATAGGCAGTGATTAATAGAATTGCCTATGCATATTTTCATGAATGATTACATTTTACTCATTTTTATCATACATTTCTTTGCAAAAATGTGTCCAAAATTAAACTTACTGATACAAATTATTTCCTTGTAATCTTTTCAGTTTCTAGTCAGTTAAAAAACAGATATTTATGTTTCTTTTTAAGTTAATGAGATGAGCCTTTCCTGTAGCATGAATAGATTAGAATGCATGAGTTTGTTTACTATGATGTAAGTTGTGATTGGACCTGATGCTAGGCACCAGCAGTGTTATGTAGCCCATAGTTTTAGTTTGAACTAGCCAGTGTCCTCTAGTGTACAGTTTGACGAGTTTCATCTCACCTATTTAGGCTTTTTGGTGGTTTGATACTTGACATCAAAAGGAAAGCACCTTTTTTCTTGAGTGACTTCAAGGATGCATTAAGCCTGCAGTGCCTGGCCTCGATTCTTTTCCTATACTGTGCCTGTATGTCTCCTGTAATCACTTTTGGAGGGCTGCTTGGAGAAGCTACAGAAGGCAGAATAGTGAGTACAAAGAATGCTAGTGGCCAGGCTCTCAGCTCTTCAGAGGCAAGTGTCTGTACACATTTGTCTCACCATTCGTACTTGCACCGGAAGAGTCTACCCGCACCATGGTTAACGTGTCCCCAATCAGACTCCCCCCCCAAAGGTAATTGCTATGGAAAACATGGGGAAGCCATTTGAACAGGAGAAGATGCACAGTTGAGGTAAAATAAATAAATAAATAAATAAGTTGGAATTAAAAGAAAAAAAAATTATCCTGACTTGTTGGATGAATGGTTTTTATAAATTGAGTAAAAAAAGAAAAAGGGCTTGTATTGTCTTGAAGAGGGTGGGTTGCTGGGGAAACTGATTCTGGGTGGGTCGTGGGTGGGAGAGTTTATCTTTGGTGATGCTTCATCCTGAAAGATGCCATAGGATTAGTTAGAGCTGCGTGATGAATGACACATCTGCCCCGGTGGGTAGACCCCGAGTGGACTGCGGCAGAATAGAACATAATGATGGAGAGAATGGATTTTTAAGTGCATTTATTGTTGCTGTTACTAAATCCCTGTGAAAGTATCCAGAAGGTTTGTTTTAGAAATGTACCTAGAAGTTACAATTCTTGTTAATACTGTGTCAGGAGAAGTGTGATACTCTGTAAAATCTTGAAAGGCATTGTTTTTGTTACTTTTACCTTTCAAGATCATGTAAATGACTGTTTGTATTCCCTAAGTTTATGTTTTTAATTATTTACTCTTGGGGGAAGAAAATGTGTTATTTTATGAATAAGAGGTTAAAAAGCTAACTCTAATAATTATTCAGTGTTTCACGAGTCGAAATTATCTTTGAATTTTGAGTTCATTTAGATGTGCATTTTCCTTGATTCGTTTATGCTTTTGCTATATTACTTCTATACTGTCCCGAAATTGTACTTGTTAGCCTGGTGGTCCTTGTAGAAGTATGTTGTGTTACCATCACGGAAAATGCTGCTGCTTTGCTGTGGACTGTCACTCACTCAACTTTGCCTGCCCTTCTTGTCTTGTTTGACGCCACGTGCCTGTGACTGCGCTGAGGCACTGGAAGAACAGTGCAAGCGTTCATGCACTTCGTCTGAGCTCAAGGCCTCTATCCTGTGTGGGAGAAATACGATGGCTTATCCGTAGTCACTGTGCGCCCGTGGGCAGTGGCTCCCAGGGGGAGGTGATGTTGTAGGTGTAGTGTTTTCAGGTGCTTTAGAAGAAACGGAGATGATGGGAGCTGCAGTACAGGTAGCGGAGAGGATTGAAAGGTAAAGATTGGGAACATTCTTCTGCAAATGAGGGCTGAGACTGAGGGTGGATGAGGCTAATAGAGGGAGGAAAGCCCAGGAAAAGGATGAGAAGCTCCCTGGATTTATGGAGTGAAGAAGGGAAGACCGGGATGGAGGAGGAAAGGGAACAGCAGATTACATCCCTGGTACACGCAGGGCTCTGGAAAAGGAATTAGGAGGACGTAACATTTTAAATGCTAAAGTAAGAAGTTTTGAGAAGGAGGGACGGTCAGGAAAGAATGTTGGCCCACTCTGTAGGAGAGTAGAGAGGTGCACGCGTGCCTGTGTTTAAAAAGGCAGGGCCCTTGTCAACGCGTAAACTGGAAACTTCTAATATAGGAAGAAAGAAGGAAAGGCAGGGGATAACTTAGCTGTGATTTTGTTGTTTAGGGAGAGGCAAGTTTGAATTTGGGAATGAATATAAAAACAGGTCAAACATCATTAAATAAAAATAGGTCGGGGTAAAGAAAATTTTTGTTTCTCATTAGTGTGGAGATTGGGATGCAATTGTGATGTGAAATGTCCCCGCTACCTGCTGGACAACCCGGGCTAGACGAGAGCCATCTGGCCCCTGCTTTCTCTCCCCTTGTTCATTAGTATTATTACTTCTTTTGTTGTTGCTTTCCGCCCTGTATACATCATTTATACATTTTTCCCCCCCAATTTAAATTGCTTAAATTTAAATGAAGGATTTTATGATGACTTCGTGGTATCTTGTAGGATAAACTTGCTTTCCCGTGGGCAGGAAAACAAGTTTATGTGACACAGTTAAGCAGTACGGACACTTCTTATTGCCGTGAGACAAACTTGTATGTGAGCTCTACCCGTGTGATTTCTTTTTTTTTTTTTTTTGTAATTTGAATGTTTAAGTACCGATTTGCGTACTACCTTTTTGTGCAAGATGCGGTTAGAGCTGACCCCATGAATCGTTGCATTTCATGAGTACACTTTGTGTACGGACACCGTGGCTGCTAGGTGACAGGTGTTGTCACCAACGCTACTTAAATTCTCATTCTCATTACCTTTTGAAAAAAATGAGATCCGCCTGACCTCAGAAGAACTAAAATGACCTTGCTCACTACCCAGCAGTCCCCAGCCTTCCTCTTAGAGTCTGATTCTGAAGCCTAGCTGTTGCACTGTCTCTTCAGGACTGTTACCCTCCACAAGCTTCTCTTTTTTTACTTTGACGAGTTGGGGACTTTTTCTTTCTGGAGAGTGCATTCCAGTTGTCCCTGCTGTTTGTGAATGGTAAACTGTTCTTGCCTTTTCCTTCTCTCCCTTTGTGTGGTGCGTAGTATTATCATCACTCCTCACCATCTTTAATCTGTTGTGCTATGACATTGGTGTACTAGCTTTCATTTAAAATTTCTCTTGAAGCTTGTCACATTATTACTGTTACTTGGTAAACTTTAATGTGGTAATTTTCTCATTTCTGGCTGTCTTTAGTTATTTTAAAAAGGTTATTCTCGGTTTCATTTGTGCTAAATACATCAGTTTTGGTGTCATATTCTTTTAAAGTAAACAAAATTGCTGTTTAGTCCATTTGAGGGAGGATCATGTTAATTTATCATTATCCTTTTGTGAAGTACCATTTTATTTTGTGTATTTTAAAATTTTCAGAAATTAACGAACTATTGAAATAATGCATATGTTTTTGTACTTACGGTAGACTTGAGAAACAAAGCCTCTGTACCTAAAACTGTCTGGATGTTTTTGTTTTTCAGATTCCTTGCATATGTTAGAGCACGTAAGAGATGTATTTATGATGTGTTGCTTTTATTCATTTCTTTTTTTCCTTGAACAGAGTGCAATAGAATCTCTTTTTGGAGCCTCATTAACTGGGATTGCCTATTCATTGTTTGCTGGGCAACCTCTAACAATACTGGGCAGCACAGGGCCTGTTCTCGTGTTTGAAAAAATCTTATTTAAATTCTGCAGGTAAGAGCGCTCTCCCTGTCACGTGTGTTTGCATATGTGTGAAATGGTGTGTTATAATGTTGACTAACTTAGGTAAAAGGATGTCATGTTTGGTAGCTGGAAAGTAACCTTCTCTGTGGTCAGTCCTACCTTGGCCTTCACCTCCCTCCTTTCCCCTCCTCCGGAAACTGTAAATGAGGACAATAAAATTGCCTTTGAGTGTAAAAATCAACTGTTTTGGATAGCCACATATTTGAGAAGCAATAACCATGTTTTTGGGCCATCAACTTGAAAGCATTAAGAAAAAAATTTTAATCTAAATTGTTAGAAGTTAGAAAGACAGATTCTTGAAGTTCCCAGGTTGACCCTATCATTCAGTTCTGCTTCCCAGCCAGAGATTTGGGACAAAGCTGTTCACAGTATAGAAGTGAACACAGGACCCGGCGCAATAGCGCAGTGGTGAAAGTCCTCACCTTGCACGCGCCAGGATCTCATATGGGCGCCAGTTTTAATCCCGGCAGCCCCGCTTCCCATCCAGCTCCCTGCTTGTTGCCTGGGAAAGCAGTCAAAGACGGCCCAAAGCTTTGGGACCCTTCATGTGTGTGCGAGACCCGGAGGAGGTGCCTGGCTCCTGGCTTCGGATTGGCTCAGCTCTAGTCGTTGCAGCTGCTTGGGGAGGAACCATCAGACAGAATATCTTCCTCTCTGTATATATCAGCCTTTCCAATAAAAATAAATCTTTAAAAAAAATAAAGAAGTTAACATAGAATACTGTAATGAATACACCCTGGATTTGACTGGCTACCATTGTTCTTCTCATGGCATAATTGCAGTTGAGTAATTTCAGTCTGAAACAACGTGGTATTATTAAATATGGGATTTTTCTAACACTCTGATTTCAGTCTTGTGCTCACTAAACCTGATTCCACTTTCCATCTTTTGTGCAACATAGACTAGTAGAGAAGGGGATGAAGTGATGTGAACTCTAGATGCTCATAGTCATTTCTTATTTGAATATAAATATATGGTCCACAGCCATACCAGCCTGAACGCGCCCGATCTCATCTGATCTCAGAAGCTAAGCAGGGTCGGGCCTGGTTAGTACCTGGATGGGAGAATATAGATATAAGGAAAATGACATGAAATCACCACGGGGGAGGTGACGGAGGCAGTTTCCTCGTGGTTGTGTGTCAGGTTGCTGGCCGGCTCGTGTGGCTCCAGGATCTCAGGGGCAGCCCGATCTGGCTGTTCTCTCCCTCTGGTCTGTACCTGTCCATCCTTGTGAACACTTTCTAAGTGACATCTAATGGGTTTGAAATTTTTTTTTTTTTTTTTTTGCTTGGTACATCATGACTATCAATCTTCTAGGTGAGTGTAATTTAATAAGAAGCTGGCCTTCAGTTGAAGTGGAAAAACATACAGGGCATTTGATAGTCATTGTCATTATGTAATTCACTCTTCAGGAATTTTACGTCGCTTTGCTATTTTTATTGCTTTCTCTGAAAATGTGTAGGTACAAATGCTACTGTTCCACCCAGCTCTGTTGATCATGTCTACTTTTTTTGTTTCTAAACAGAGATTATCACCTTTCCTATCTGTCTTTAAGAACCAGTATTGGTCTTTGGACTTCTTTCTTGTGCATTGTCTTGGTTGCAACAGATGCAAGCAGCCTTGTGTGTTACATTACTCGGTTTACGGAGGAGGCCTTTGCCGCTCTCATTTGCATCATATTCATCTATGAAGCTTTGGAGAAGCTCTTCCACTTGGGGGAAATCTATGCGTTCAATATGCACAACGACTTAGATAAACTGACAAGCTACTCGTAAGTATTTCTGTTTCCCCACTAATCTTAAAAATGTGTTTATGCAGAAATTTCCAGAGCCCAAGGAAATGGCTGTTTTTGCAATGTGGTTCGCATTGCGTGTAGTGAGCGCCGACTGCTTGGTACCGTGTGCTGGCTACCGTGTTTTAGATTAGATTTTGCCGGTGCATGAGCACAGCTGACCCAATTGTAGCACGCTTTGTTCGGTAGAACAGCTTATGCAAGGCTGTCTGCTTGGTTTTCCGTTTGAACTAGATGGGCCAATTTTAGGGATACGTTTGTGTGTGTGTGTGTCCGTCCGTGTGTGCCCTCAAGTGTGCACTTCCCTCACATTCATTAGTACTTTTAGAAACTTGATTGTTTCTACTCAATTTTTCAGTAGAATTTCAGTATATTCTCAATGCTATTGTAATGATTTATTAGTGATAAGAAAAGCATGAAATAAAAATATTCTTAAACTACAGAATAAAACTTTGAAATAAAAATAATTTTCAATAATAAGCATAATGAATAAAATAAACATTTAGAAAATTTTGTGTAGTAGTTTTAAAGCTTTGCAACAGATATTCAATGAAAAGGAAGGCAGGTTGTGAGTCTGAATTCGGGTTCCGATCCACAGATACACACGAGAGAGCGCGAATTGTTGTTTTTTACAGCCGTGCTTGTTGTTACCCTTGGATGGACAGTGGAGCAATGTGATTAACGGAAGATAAGGATATAATTTTTCCTCCCACCCACCTAAGCCTCAAGTCCTGTACTGCCCCCTTCCTTCCATACCTTGGCCTGTTCCTTCTCTCCCTGCTGCATCCCCTTCCTTGCTTGCCTGAGCTTCTCAGCTTTGCTGAGCCGAGCTAAGGGACATGAGAATTCCTCTGAGGTGGTGACTTATTTGAAAATATTACTGATGGCTTTTGTTTTAGCATTTTGATGCATGATATATCAATGCTATTTCTTGCTCTTAAACATTTGGCTTTTGAATGTCTTTTTGGAGGGATTGGGGCCTTCCCCCTCCCTTTCCTTCCTTGACGTTTATGACGCGGGACGGCTGTGGATAGTGTGGGAGCACTGTCTTCTTCCGAGAAGCTCAGTAATAACGTGTAACGGACATTCATTCTCAAACCGTCTGAACATCAGCAGGAACTACTTTAGAAATTCATGTCATCACACTAAACAATATTGTAGTCCTTTTTTTTTCTTAAGATGAAAGTGAGGCTCTTGGAAGACTGGCCTTCAGTAAGCAGTTATGTAAATGATTAGAACCTAGGTTGACTTCACAAGCCGTCTTTTCCTTTTCTCTGATAGTTTATAATCCAGTTGGAAATACTCATGTCTGTTTCTTATTTTTAAAACCACTTTTAGAAGTTTATTTGCTCATGAGTTTCTGGTTTTAGAAATAGTTCTAGACTGAGTGGGAGTAGGTTGGGCTTGTAAAAGTACAAAGAGTGAATAGTAGGGTGACTCTTGTTGAAAAAATATCCCTGTTTTGGGGTACGTGCAGGTGGCAGTAACGAAGGGGGTTGCAGAGAAAAGATTGGGTAGAGAATAGTCTTGTCTAACGTGCTGGTGTATTTTCAGATTTTTGAAGAAAGTGGGAGGTGATATCCCAGTCCCAGGGATGTGTTTAAATTGTTTCATTAAGTAAACATTTTCTTGGTATTCACACTACTTAGAGTTTATTTATATAACCCAAACCTTGTTCCATTCTGTTACTTTTTCATGCATTTCCATCCTGCTGTCTCTAGGTTTTATAATTGGGAAACAAGTTAAAAGCTACCACATTACCACATTGTATAACTGATCTAATCATATGTGAACATGAAATGCAGAATCCTTAAAACTTTTTCCTATTCTAAATTCTTAGGTGTGTGTGTGATGAACCTGCCAACCCTAGCAATGAAACTCTAGAGTTTTGGCAGAAAGAGAATATAACAGCACACAGCATTTCCTGGGGAAACCTCACTGTTTCTGTGAGTATGATGGAATAAGGGATTTTTGCAAATACATGTTCATCAAGTTCTTTAGCTTTTGTTGATTATACCTACATTTTCTTTTTGATCTGGGTTCTATCATATGCCTTCAGTAGATAGTGTTATTTTGATTAATTAGCACTTACTGTTTTTCTACACATTCTGCACCAGAAAGTATAGGCTGAAAAAAATAGGAAGCTGGTAGGTAGGTGAGATTAAGCTATATTATACCTGACTTCCAAAGTAGAATTTTTTAAAAGCTTTGAGCCTCTGATTTCTTGGTTGCTGCCTTTATTTTACATGATAAAGTCAAGGAAATGCTTCTTGGGGTTGCGGCTGCATACCTGGGGTTTGTAATGATGGCAGCCTGTTCCCTGTGTCCTGGCTTCTCCAGAAGGCTCTTCTGCTTGCTGGACAGTTGACTCGGACACTGTCTAACGCTGTGCAGTGAAAACCCGGCCTTCCTGTTAGGAACTGCTCTTCTTCCAGTGGGTAGACACATGTAGTGGGCACCTGCTGGATCCTGAATATTCTCGCAGGAGGTTGGTTAGATCTATGTTGCGGTACTTCCAGGGTTGGGAGTTGGGGCTAAAGATGCAAAGCATTAATAATCCCCATTAAAACAAGATTCCCTTGAACTCCCTGGTGCTTTTTATCACACATAAGCAGCTATAAGCCATTTCTCTTTCATAAAAGGTGATAGTTTCTAAGTATTTCATTGAAGGATGTCATCTAAATTTTTATCCCACTGACAGTTATGTCCATGCTATCCTGTACAATATTCATCTGCTATTTAAGGTAAAATGAACTCAAAGCAGATGTCCCAGTTTTTCAGTTGACTGATCAGGTTTTATATATTTATATATGTTTTTAAATTCTTTTCCATAGTTGAGAGGTTTGCATACCCATGTGGGGAGGGTCTAAACTGGAGGAAGGTGGATTTCAGTTCCTTTTTTTTCCCCCTCCAGTGTCAGTAGGGCACTGTTCCTGGCTGTCAAACTAAGTTAGCACCTGGGGATGGTGGACCCTAGATAGCCTGACATGGGGCAGAAAGTTCTGAGGGTTTTAGTTGAGTGATTCTTAATTGTTTTGAAATGTTGTCACCTTCATTTCACCAGGGTTGAGAAAATCTTTCCAAGGTCTGTTGGCTGAGCATGTCTTTCTCAGTGGTGAAAAAATTTTGGCTTTCCATTCTCTGTGAGGCACTGGACTCTGCTGGCTAGACGAGCTGGTTGCATGTCCTCTTGTGTGTATTGTGGGTATGCTGCTCACTGTAGGAGTAATAGCAACTTAGGAGGCCCAGTGCTGATGCCTGCACTCCAAGGTTGGACCACAAATCTTATGGTTTTCCCTGAGTTACTTCAGGGTTTTGAGTTCTATGGTCTAGATGGGAAGTTCCTCAAGAAAGCCTTCCTAGAAGGTCCTCAGACTTGACTCTTGTATGTGCCAGTTAACTCAGGATCAGGTTTGGTCCATCTCTTGCACTAGCCATTTTAAGTACCAATGGGTGAAGCTGCCCGGTCTGTCCCACCCCACCCCTATCATGCACAGCAGCAGGTGCTGCAGCCTCGTTGAGCCAACCCCCAGTAACCTCCACCAGGCCTGCCTCCAGCCCCAGCTTTGATGTGGACAGTTGGTGCGGTGGCCCTGACCAGTCCAGCTTATATGCCATCCTGGCTCTCGCACAGGGCAGCAGATGGTATGGCCTGGCCCAATCAAGCCTGGACTGCTCTTGCCCAGCTGCCAAGCATGTCGGTGGATGTTGCAGCTTTGTCCAGCTCACCCCCAGCTCCGGCTCTTGGGCTTACCAGCAGGAGCTGCGGCTTAGCAGGGGAGCTCCCTTACCAGACCCATTTCCAACCCTGGATGTTGTATGTATCGGCAGGTGCTGTGGGCCAGCCGTGTATAATCCACCTCTAGTCTTGGTATTCACTGGTGGGCACTGTGGCTTGACCTGGCCTGCCCCCAATCCCAGCTATTACTGGCAGGAGCTGCAGCCTAGCCCAGTTTGGGCAGCCCCCAGCCCCAGCTGTCATGTGAACCAGTGGGTGCTGCAGTCTTGTCCAGGCCAGCAAACCCTCAGTCCTGAGGCTCATGCATGCTGACTGGTTTTACAGCCCAGCTTGGCATGACCCAGCCCCAGCCTTGGCACTCGCCAATCGGTAAACATAGCCTGCTGTGCCTGTCTGTCACTAGTGAGTGCTGCAGCCTAGCCCAGCCTTGCCTGTCTATAACCCCAACACTAGTGTGAACCGGTGATGCTGCGGCCTAGCCCAGCCCACACCCAGTTCAACCAGCCGCATTTCAACTACTCTGTCACTGTCTTCTGTATTAGCATGGATAAATAGCATCTCTAGTACAGAAAAGGTTACTGGATATACGGATTTAAATAGTAAAAGTCATCAACTCAGTTTATTTAACATTTTATATTTAAGAACATTTTTTTTTTTCTGGAAGGTGAGTGCTTATTTAAGGCTCAGATGTAAGTGATTTTTGTTAAAAAGAATTCATTTCATGCCACATGTATTAGGATGTTTTCTTATTGTAGATGTATGTATTTCCCAGAAGTCCAAAAGGGACTATGTCAAGAATTTGGTTTGGTTTTGTTGCTTCTTTTGGTAATTTGAGCCTTTATTTCTGTGATCCATTGAGTGGATTAGGATTATTAATCCTGGCACATGGATCTTGAATATAATGGAACCTTGAACTGTTTGTTTTATGTGTGTGTATGTGAACTTTAATCAGTTTTAAATTGAGCCCCAAGAAAGTTTAAGTAAGAGTAGGGGTTTTGGTGATGTGTGCCTTTATTAATCTCTAGTTCACTTTTGATTATTTTCTCCCCTAAAGGAAAATCAGAGTCAACTCTGTGTAATTGAATTGGACTACATAATGTGTTAGAGGCATTACCTAATTGACTTTTCTGGTAGAGGAATTGTAGTAAATTTTTACGGTCCTTATTAGTAATTTGAATTTAGTCATCTTTTTTTTTTTTTTTTTAAACACAGCATCATAAAAGGGCTCAGCAGGACTGCTTTTATTTTAAATTGCTTGCTTAGGAAAAAGACGGCAGATTTGTGGGCTAGCAAACACACACAAAAGGAAGAATTTTAAAAATAATACTCAGCCTTCTATTAAGGGGAATATGTAATTAAAAAATAATTTACAAAATAGCATGTTTGGGGGATTTAATACATGAGCATTAATATTTGAACTTCATATGAGTGTTGGAAGTAATTGCTGGTATGTTGCAGTTGACCTATCAGTGTCATACCTTGGAGCATCATCCTGTGTCCTACCGTTAGTTGTGTTTTAAAGCCGGTAAAGTTCCTTAGTATTTGATTGGACATCTGAGAAGCCTTTCCCTCTTTGTAGGAGTGTAAAGGCCTCCGCGGGGTCTTCGTGGGACCGGCGTGCGGGCCCCACGGCCCTTATATTCCCGATGTGCTCTTCTGGTGTGTCATCTTGTTTTTTACAACATTCTTCCTGTCTTCATTCCTCAAGCAGTTTAAGACCAAGCGTTATTTTCCCACCAAGGTAACAGGAATGTAAACTGGGAAACCTGGTATAAAGTGGTTTTGTCTTGGTTTTCTTGTTGTTGTTGTCTTGTTTTTTTGTTTTCGTTTCCTTGGCTTGCTTCTGGGAGGTCAGTTTGAGGTTAATACTTTACACCACATAGTTATAAAGAAATTACTCACAATGAAAAAAAAAATGTACATTGCATATCCTAGCTCAGATGTGAAGGTAAGGAATGGTACTATGAGAGATGGGCAGGGTTATTTGTGAAACCTATTTCTTTGAGACAAGAATTAGGTATTTCAGTGATAAAATGCCATACTTTCTCGTGATGTGTTTCATCTGTCAAAGATGCGGATTATTTAGAAAGTAGACAAGGCGCCTCTGTGTCTATATTAACGTGATCCCTTCAATGTAGGTGCGGTCGACCATCAGCGACTTTGCCGTCTTTCTTACGATCGTCATCATGGTTACGATTGACTACCTTGTAGGAGTGCCATCTCCTAAACTTCATGTTCCTGAAAAATTTGAGGTAAGGATGAAGGCAGGCAGCGTTTGGGAGGTATTGCCTCCTAAATCGTCATTTTAAAAATACATGTCGTTCCTCTGAAGAACTGTTTGAAAGGAAAAAATTTTATGCATATTTTTCACATAATAATAAAGAAAAAAATGACCACTTGAAAAGGAACAAGTAAGCTCTTTCAGCTGAGGAAGGGATCAGGAAGCTGGGGAGAGGGAGTGTTTTCTTTGTGGAGACACCGAGGGCCCTGGAGCCGAAATTCTTGATGGACATCTGAGAAATAAAGAAAACCCTGGATTCCTTTGCAAAGAGGTTTACTTAAAGCAGAATTTGGAAAAGTAGCAGTGAAGCCCTAATTAAGTTCTTGAAAGGCTCATGTTTCTAACAGTAATTGATGGAAAAGGTCCGTGGAACATTTCCCAACAAAAGAAGTCAGGTGTATTCTGCAAGGAAAACTTAATGCAAGCATTCACTTGAATTATTTGCAAATGTTAATATCTAGATAAATGTAAATGTATTCATTTTCATATAATCATTGTTAGGGTCCACAAGTGAAGGTTTAAAGTGATTAGTCTGGAAGCCAGTGCTCTCCAAAATCAGCTGTGTGAGTAGAAAATGACCATCAGAAATAGCTAGAACGTCTGTTGATGTTTCTAAATTTAAAAATAATAAAAATTGAAGTTTATGATATTTATAATCCGAGTTTTACCATATGGATAAGTAGTGATAGAACTATAGTACATAATAGATGTATCTGCTCAGTTATTTTTATTTTACTGGAGGCCTTTATTTGGCAGCGTGGATACTGAATCAGTGAAGAATTTTATGTCATTAGGAAATGACTAGGATGTAAAAGTCATTGCATTTTTACCAAATCTTACTGGAATACACAGATTTACTGAACAGGAACTAGATAATCAGTATTACTTCCAAATATTGACATGATATCTTGTAACCCTGGCCTTCCGGCCTGGTGAAGTGCCAGATTTTCCTCAGCAGCTGTGTAGGGGACGTCCTGTGCTGGCCACCAGATCTGACGGAGTAGGGACTTCTGAGGTTGTTAAAGCAGCTTGGTTTAGGGGTTGATCCACTGGATGGTTTGATTTCACATTATATGATTCAGTATGTGGGAACATGTTGAAAGGAACGTCAGTCTCTCTCTTCTTGCCTAACCTCTTCAAAATGGAAAGCCTTTAAACCACAACCCTCCCTCGTGTCTGACTCCAGAGCCTGGTGGTCTCCGCAGTGAAACAGCTGGGATGGTTGTGCTTCCCTGGCCCTCCCTCGTCCTGTGGTGTTTTATCCTCAAGAAAGCTTATCTGGACTCATGTAACAGCATAATCATCTCAGAATGTTCCAAGAGGGTTTAGGAAGAAGCTTCAAGATCCCTTGAGATGAACACCTAGAAATTGTAAAAATAAGTTACTGTGGCTATATTTTATAATATATAATATATTATGTAATATACTGTGGATATATTTTGTAAGTCTTAAGATCAGTCCAGTTTGAAGGCGGAGAGAGTGGCTAAGTCGCATGACTTGGGGCATACCAGTGGGAATGGGAGGAATCCCCAGATTGACTTTACAAGTAATTCACCATACGTCCCGGGATTTAATGCAGTTCTTTTCTACCCAGTTGCCATTTCTTGTTAAACATTGTCTGTTGTGTAAAGAAGTTGTGGGTAATAGGAGGAAGAGTCTTTTTATTACTATTACTTTCTTTAACAGCCTACAGATCCAAACAGGGGCTGGATCATAAGCCCATTGGGAGACAATCCTTGGTGGACCTTACTTATCGCTGCTATTCCAGCTCTGCTTTGTACCATTCTCATCTTTATGGATCAACAGATTACGGCTGTGATCATAAACAGAAAGGAGCACAAGCTGAAGGTAACCCAAGCTTTACCTCGAGAATTACCAGCCTGTATTTTCGTAAGGATCAGAACTTGAGAGAAGATGTAAAAATCTTATTTCTTTCCACAAATCATTTAGCATTTTATCCTGAAAGATCAGTCGAGACTCGCAAGTAATGGTGTTCATTTCACTTTTCAGAAAGGAGCTGGCTATCACCTGGATTTGCTGATGGTCGGCGTCATGTTGGGAGTCTGCTCTGTCATGGGCCTGCCGTGGTTTGTGGCTGCAACCGTGCTGTCGATCAGTCACGTCAACAGCTTAAAAGTTGAATCTGAATGTTCTGCTCCAGGGGAACAACCCAAGTTTCTGGGAATTCGTGAACAGCGGGTTACAGGGCTGATGATTTTCATTCTAATGGGCCTGTCTGTGTTCATGACTTCGGTTCTAAAGGTAAAAATCTCTTTCTTGAAATATTTCTAAATTTTACTTGTCATGACATTTATTCTTGGTTGTGTGAAAATGAACTATTAAAAACTACTTGAAACACCTAAAATTAGTTTCGTTTCATCCAGCCGACACAGAAAAATATTTGGTAAGGTTTTTAGTGTAGAAAACCTGTCAGTTGTAGGTCAATCACCATGTAAACGAATGTTAGCAAAGATGAACCAATTCTGGAAGGAGGTAATTAGTGGCTTGTTTAAAGGAGAATATGTCTAGAAGATTTTGTAGGCTTGAAGGAAGAACAACTGAAAAATGAACAGAAATTATTTGACCAATATGAAAATAGTATTTCCATCTAGTTTTGCATTTTGCCTGCCATATTGAATCTTATAAGTTTCTAGAAAGTAACTAATAAACATAGGTAAGTATTTCATGTGGAATTTTCTGCTCGTCATGGCCTATATGCTGTTTAATAAATGAGTGTATAAACTGGATAGGTGTAATGCATGTGTATTGCCTTGGCCTCCTTTCACGAACCTAGAAGCAGCCCATAATTTATTAAATATTTGTTGAGTGCTTGGGTCGTTACATATTGAAAACAGGAATGAGTAGAATTGTAGCCTACTAACTTGACAGTCTGGTAAAACAGGAAAATGGATAGTTGTAGAGGTGCTTGGGAACCAGAAAGGAAATATTTATTGCAATTTTAAAGGATGCAGTCACTCAGTTATGAAGGTTGCCTTTTAATCTTAAATTTTTGCAAGTTATTTTCTAGAAAACAGTTTATTTGAAGGGCAGACAGGCAGACCCAGACAGAGAGCTTCCCTTCACAGTTTGCCTCCCCTGAGTGCTCACAGCAGTTTTAATCTGGATGCAGGTCTGGTATAGAAACTAAAGCACAGAGAGGTTGAGTTTCAATTAAAAAAAAAAAGGAATTGAAGCCAAGTACTTTAGTGTAGTGCAGTGGTTCTTCCGCACTGAGAAGAATGTAGAAGTTGTGAGGGACTTTATGGAAATATTAGATTAATGCATTATTCGTTCCTAAAGGATCTGTCTTATTTTATTCCCATAGTTACTAATGGGTTACATTCTGTATACTTATTAATATGAAATTATTTCAGCAACCTGAGTTCTAATGGTGACCATTGCTCCTGCAGTTTATTCCAATGCCTGTTCTGTATGGTGTTTTCCTGTATATGGGAGTTTCCTCACTAAAAGGAATCCAGGCAAGTCTTACCTATTTTGTGATTCTGTTGGAAAGCTTTAATGTTTACAATTTGTAAAGATTGTCTAAGTGATGGTTGTGAAGTATTCTCAGGTGTTTGGGTGCAAGTTATTTTTCTAAGTGGTGACTTCGAATACGTGCTTGCCAATTGACTGTTGCTTGCTGTACATATTTCTTTCTGGAGAATGAGATCATGCACCTGGCGTGGCTCTGACGAACTTGTAATTAAAGCCAAGGAAAGCTTATTATTATACTGTTATTACAGGAGGAAGGATTAAAAGAATTGAAATGGGGGAAAAAAGTGCTGTTTCTAACCTACAGAATAATAGTTTCAGAAGACAAAAAGAATACGTTGAGACATTCATTTCCTATAAAAATGGTTGTACCTGCAGTGGTGTGATCCAGTGAAGTTTATAAAGCCTGGACCATAAATTGTTGTCTGTGGTTCTCAAAACAGTCTTTGGAAAAGAATAGAGGAAGTTGTTGTTTGTTTGGCAAATAATCCTTGGAACCACGGCTAGAACTCAGTAATTTCACCACTCTGTCCTTTTTGTGGAGAAACCTGGCAAAACATGCGTAATAGTCATGTGTTAATGTCAGACATTTTGATCAGTCCAGTTAGCACCGCGTGCACACCTCTCCCTGTGAGCTAAGCATGTTAGCTAAACTTGCCAGCTAGTGGGCAGGCGGTCGGCAGGATCCTCCTCTCGGGAAGCTTCTCTGTTTTTCTTTCAGTCTGTTTCCATTGTTGAGAAATCTCATTATGTCATGGCTGATTTTTTTTTTTAAATAGTTTTGTGAGATAAGTAGGATAGATGCTCTCTTTTTTTTGTTTTTAATATTTTGTTTATTTGAAAGAATTATGGAGAGAGAGGAGGTAGTTTTTTTTTTTTTTTTACCAAGAAGTTACTTTTGTGGAACTGGTGGTATTAAGCTTGGAAAGAACCCTAAAGGAAGTACAAACTGTTACTCTGTGGGATTAAATGATTTATAGATTTGGTTATAGTAGATAAATTCATCCTAATTATTTTGATATACTCCAGATTAAATGGTAATAAGTTGACTGTTGTAATTGCTTTGCTTTTCTCCCTTCTTGAATGCAGAGAATTCTAGCTGAATCTTTTTTTTTTTTAAGGTTTATTTATTTTTATTGGAAAGGCAGATTGACAGAGAGAGATCTTGCATCTTGTGGTTCATTTCCTAGGTGCCCACAATGACTAGAGCTGAGCCAATTCAAAGTCAGGAGCCAGGAGTTTCTTCCTGATCTCCCACATGGGTGCAGGGTCCTAAGGCCATAAGTGGGGAGTTGGATGGGTTTTGGAGCAGCCAGGACACCAGCTGGCATCTGTATGGGATACCAGCATTTGCAGATGATTAGCCAGGTTAGCCTTCGTACGGATCTCCTGAACCATTCCCTTACACTCTGAGAACATGCCAAGGAAATTCCGGTTTAAATTTAGTACATAAAACCCTAAGGCTGTGTGTATAATTTCTCATCCCAGATGGCAGAAACTATTTTGTTGAGATTTTTTTTTTCCCTGTTTTTTCATCCTGTGCATAGTTCTTTGACCGTATAAAGCTGTTTGGAATGCCTGCTAAGCATCAGCCCGACCTGATATACCTGCGCTACGTGCCTCTCTGGAAAGTGCACATCTTCACGGTTGTACAGCTCACCTGCCTGATTCTCCTGTGGGTGATAAAGGCTTCGGCTGCCGCGGTTGTTTTCCCCATGATGGTAAGCCTTTTTTTTCTACCCCCCATTTGGTTTTCGCTAATTCATTATATGTTTGTTGTGATGATTCTTTTGTTTGAGAAAATGCTCATGAGAATCCATTGCGTCCCATCGTCCGAAATCAGACAAGAAATACCTCATTTACAGTAACTTGGAGATAAAAATGACAAGTTAACGACAGTATTTTCGGAATTGAAAATGTGGATCCTGCTCAGAGAAAGTTTCATCTTTTGGTTTTCTCCAGAAATGGCTGCCACTGCCAGGCCAAGCAGAAGGTGGAAGCTTGGAGCTTCCTTTTCCAGGTCTTGTATGTAGGAGGCTAAGTCCCTGGGTTAGCTTCTGCTGACTCGCAAGGGAGCTGGGCCAGAAGTAGAGCAGTCCAAACCCAAAGCAGCTTCTTGGGCTGGATGCCAGCCCTGGCACCAAGGACAATGTTCTGTAACTTTTTCAGATATAGACCAATCCCCAGTCAACAAGGTACGAAGAGTGTAGATGCCTTCGAGGGAGTTAATCTGCCTGATTAAATCAGTGCATGAAAGTTGGTTAGGTACATGACCGCAAAGAAAAATTAAAAATTCTCAGGTAATATCAAAACAATCACAGGTGAATTATAAATAATAGAAAGTCACTAAATTAAGTATTTGAAATTAAACTCTGTTCTAAATAAATCTAGGATAGAAACCTGAGTTTTAAAAGTTATGAAAAGGCAACTTATAATGATGTCTATCTGAAACTTTGAGCACATCTAAAGTTGTGTTCTGAGGAATACTAGTGTTCGTGTGTGAAAAGCATTGTAGCTCAGAGGCTAAGAATAGGGGGCATGTATTGAGAACAAAGACATGAGAATACCAAAGATAAGGCTGTAGTAGTACAAACCTAGGTTATTTGTATAATCCAGTGAGTAAGAGTAATTTTTCAGTGAAGACAGGGAATCCCAAGGGTAAAAGAAGGATAAATATGTGAAGCTACTTCAGGAAGTTCATGGACATATACATTATAAAAAAAATGATACATGGGATGTCAATGTTTTTCGCACCAGAATTGATTGTTTTCATGTTCTGTGAACTTTTCTTTGAAGTGCCCTTGTCTTTGACCATAGATAATGAAATGTGATTACGGGTTTAGAAAGTGTCATAAACAGAGTAAAAAATCACGTTGTAAACAGGGAGAAAAATACTTGTAAGAGCATAAGCACATAGAACATTTTTATCCAGGCCTCCCAGGCGTATGAATTAATAAACAGAATCAAAACCAGTGGAAGAATTGGAAGATGGCAAGGAACACAGAGGGGTATCCGCCTAGCTATTCAGTACTGGAAGCCACACTCCCACGGCTAGAGGCAGACAGATGCCTCACTGTCTAACTTAGGATGGCAGAGATAAAACTGAATGCTCCAAGCAGGCCTCATAATGTTGTTTCTGCCAGGTTTGTCAAACATGTACTTAACATTTGTACATCGTTTCACTCTCATGCTTGACTTACCTCCTGCTTTTCTGCAGGATGCCAGAGGGCTTGCTTGAGGAGAGGTCAAGAAAGCCACCTCCTGTTTTCTAACTTTATCACATTCCGCCCCCCCCTTTTTGGGGGTGCATTTTATAAAGATAAAAAAGATGGCTCAGTTGCTTTTTGAGATGAGATGGTGTATGAAGTAATTTTTCTTCAACACATGACATGTTTTTTTCATTATTTATAATAGTTTATTAAAAATTAGCTTCTTGAAGTGTTGTAGCTTATGTCGCATGTTCCTTCGTATCCCCTCCTCCACTCTTCTAAGGTTCTGGCATTAGTCTTCGTGCGCAAGCTCATGGACCTGTGCTTCACAAAGCGAGAGCTCAGCTGGCTGGACGATCTGATGCCAGAGAGTAAGAAAAAGAAAGAAGATGATAAGAAAAAAGAGAAAGAGGTAAAAGAGAATCTGAGATTTATAATATCTCTTTCTATAATTTGTATAATAAGCAGGCACTATTAATAATCACTTTGCTTGAATCAGCTCCTTTCTTTCACCCTCGTAAGCACGCTGTACAATGTGGAAGCATATATTCCCTTTTCAGATGTAAAGAAACTGTGACGGTTTAGGTAACTTGTGGCAAGCAGGGTTTTATTTTATTTATTTGAAAGGTAGAATTACAGAGAGGGGAAGACAAAGCGGAAAAATCTCTTCGCTGGCCCACTCCCCAAATGGCCACAGCCGGAGCCAGGAGCTTAACCTTGGGAAGCATCCTATTACTTTCTCAGCCACATTAGTAGGGAGCTGGATAGGAAGTAGAGTAACCTGGACTTGAACTGGCACTCTTGGCAGTCTTACAAGGTGCCAGTGCTGCCAGCAGCCGACTTAACGCTCTGTACCATAGTGCCAGATCCTGAAACTTCATGTGCTACTATTAGTTGATCTGTATACTGAGATTTAAGCATGAAAACTGTGTTCTAAATTGATCATTTTAAAATTTTTAAAAATTTTTTTTTATTGGGAAGAAATATGCAGAAAGCTCTTCCATTCGCTGTTTGATTTCCCAAATGGCCAATATGGGCAGAGCTTCTGATCCAAAGCCAGGAGCCAGGAGCATCTTGTGGTCTCCCAGTTGGGTGTAGGGTTTCAAGGATTTGGGGTATCTTCCAAGCGTGTGTTCATAATTGCTAAGAGGATTTTCAGCCATGCAGATATGTTGAGACAACACAGGTGTCAACAGTGTGGGTTTCTTAAGTCCTTTCCGTTGTCTATTTTAACTTTTTCTCTTGGAAAATAATTTCTTTGTGTGTGTCCTCTGCAGGAAGCTGAACGAATGCTCCAAGAGGAGGAGGATACTGTGCACCTTCCTTTTGAAGGGGGAAGTCTCCTGCAGATCCCAGTGAAGGCCCTAAAATACAGGTGAGATAGTGTTCGCCTGTAAAATTTGCCTGTTGTACATGCTAGGTGCATGAGTAAACCATATGATATGTGCCTCTTTGAAATATTGACTTCTATTTTTAGAAAGGCAATAAAATCAAAAGTCTGGAGTATCAGCTGAAGAATATGCCCTTCGAAAAGGAGCTTCTTTTACTCCTCTCCCACCTGGGTTGTAGGCAGGAATGAAGACATGGCTCAACCTCGGACCAAAACCTTAAGCTAATCTGCTTGCACAGTTGACAACATTTCTTATCTTGCAACATCTCATATGTCTTAGGGAAGTTTCACGAACCTAATGCCTTGTAGTTTCTAAGCTTTTAATTATTCTTCATGGGTCTTAATGGAAGCCGTGTATGTGTATGTGTTGGTGTTAGGATATAATCTATTTGAAAGGGTTACAGAGAGAGAGAGGAAGGGACCAAGAGCCATCTTCTAGTTCAGTTCCCAAGTGACCACAACAAGCAGGCTGAGCCGGGAGCTTCAACTGGGTCTCCCGTGTGAGTGGCAAGGCACAAGCACTAGGGTCGTCTCCCGTTGCTTCCCTGTGTCGTTAGCAGGTGGCACACTGATCAGCACCCATATGGGATGCCAGCGTCACAGAGGGGAGCTCTCCTGTGCCAACTCTAGCCCCCTGAACGGGTAGATGCTGACGAATGAGCTCCCATAATCTTCTCTGCTGTTAATTTTTGTCAGTGATATTGTTGTGTCTGTGCATGATTGTCCCTCAATTCTTGATGGACTTTGAACTAAATGCCTGGTGTAGAGCTCTTCATGTTTCCAGCTATGGCTTTGTTAATGTTTATGTTTCTTAAATGAATCAATAGATTAACCTCATCAATTGTACTTCTAAGCAGAGTCTGGGGACTGACTTTCATGTCTTACATTCATTGTTATACATGAGTACTTTTAAGTGGAGTCTGATAACTATAAAAATAAAGGATATGGTTTTTTTAAATTTATTTAATGAAATAATGATGTGAGCTATGATTCATAATGTTTTCCTCAAGAGTTAAACATCATGAATGCCAGGGTATGGTTCCTCTAGTTACTTGCTGGAATTCTACATTTTAAGTGTTTTTGGGTTACTTGCTTTGCAGAACAAATGAGACAGTACATGCCAGCATTTGGAAACCATAGGATCCTGTAAAATACGAAAACAATTTGCATAATATGGGCAAGGTTTTACTTCTCACATTTTATCTGAGAGGATGAGGAGGAGTAAAATACATCTTTTCTTCAAAAAGAAAAAAAAAGGCTAGTTAATTTCTCTAATGGATATTTAATTATCTAATTGATACGAGGCTATTCGGAAGGTAGGAACTTTGTTAGGAGTTGCTCCCTTGAGTTCCGTGCGGTTGACTGCCGAGTAGCAGGCTCCCAGGGTGAGCGGTTCTGAGCTTTGAACCTGCTAGATTCCCAGGGACGGTTGAATGACCATGTCCTTGCGCCTCGAAACAAGGATCAGACTCAGGGCACGAACAAGGATAATACTTTAAAAATGATTCTTAGTCATTCGTAACCTGTCTATTTATTTAAGCATTTTATTGAAGCATTTCAATGAAATACAGCGCTCATATGAAAATATTATTTAGCACGTCATTGTTAATTTTGTAACTTGATAATTGAATTTGTAGCTTGTTTGGGTGAACAAGGCTTATAAATGTATTTCTGTTCATTTCATAATTTTGACATTTCTTGTGACTGACAACTTTGAGCCCAAATGAATTGTTTATGGTTAGCATCATTATTGGATTTTGGGGTCTTCAATTTTGCAGTACATTTGCTTCTTTTGTAATATATTATGTAATATTCTGCTCTTTGAATTTTGAAAATGGCCCCATGACGCTAAAAATATGGATACCAGTCAAACACATTTATTGGGTGTTTTTTATCTTACCTGTTAGATTATTTTCAGAGCTTTGTTTTCCAATTTTGTAGTGTTACCTTAAAGTATGTAAGACAAGGGCAGTAAAAATTGTGGCTTTGTTTCTTTTTTTTTTTTCTTTTGATGAAACAAACTTGAGTCAGCATCACTTCCTAACTGATGTGAATGCTTTGTAAGCACATTAGTGTATTCTCATGTTGTTTTGATCCTATACTGTCTGCCTGCAGCCAAGATGATCGGGAGGCACCATAGTTATACCAACTGCTAAAATAGTACTAGCCAAGCCCCGAATTGAATTCTGAGGTTAAACCCAATCCTAATTGAATTGGTCTCACGATTGGTTTTGATTGCAAAGTCGTGTACTTCTCTGAGGCCTCTGTAACACACTCTAAAATTCTCATCTCTTGCTTGACTTTGATTTCAGTGCATGGCAAGGATTTTCTGAGTTTTAAGTTGATGGAAGCAAATAAACGCTAAGACAGTAAAAATGACGGTATGGATGCTTTTGCCAGTGCTGAATACTAACCAGCAAGTGTGTTTGTTTCTCAGTCTTGATCCCTCAGTTGTTAACATATCAGATGAAATGGCCAAAACCGCACAGTGGAAGGCACTTTCCATGAATACTGAGAATGCCAAAGTAACCAGAGCTAACACGAGGTAGTTACAACCATTTATGCGTTTTCTAACTGTAGCTGGTGTTCATTCACTTACAGAGAGCTCTGCAGTAAACTGTTACAATTAACTTACCTAATTCGTGTTCTCCTTCACCAGCTTTCCCTTTTCTTTTACTGTGTTCTAGAATCAGGTACATGATGGTTATTTGTTCTTCAGTTTACAGTTGCCTGTTTTTATTATAAATATATATAATATACACATGCATATTATACATAAAATGTGTATATATACACATGTGTATATGTATATGTGTGTGTGTATTATATATAAAAGTGAATTTCCTAATGCTATTGAATGAATCAAAACCATAAAAATGCCTTTTTAGAGATTGTATGAATAGTGTAATTGAAGAGTACCTCAATAATACTGTCTAATCCAATGAAATAGAAAAACACTATTTTCCCATTTACGTTGTTCTGATTCAGGCACATCTTTTCCTTAGATGAGACAAATGTTTTGTCCAGGAGACTTTAGGGAGAGGTTTAAGCCTTTGACATCCATTCAGAAATCCTACAATGGATATATCATATTTTGCTGTTGCTGTGAAGTCCTAAACCTCAGGAATTCTGTCCTAACAATAAGTAGCACCTTAGGTCTCCGAGGTCCGGCGCCAGGGCCTCGCTACTTCACATTCAGCAGACACTTCTTTGTGCCAAACCCTGGTTTGAATGTTACTGTATTCTGGGCTTTTCCAGCTCAGGCAGTCACATAGCCATTTCTTTGTGATTTGCCATCCAGTTTGAGCAAAATAATTGAGAATTTTTTTTTTTTTTTTCATTCTTCCACTGCCCCCCCACTCTTTTTTACATCATTTTGCTGCCTAGCCTCCGTCATTGTATGGTTTTGTTTTCTGTAATCATTCTGTAAGTTCCGGTTTTCCGAGTGAGGCTACTTCCTCTCTTCGCTCCTACCTTTAGCCTGGAACAGTTTTTTAGTTAATTTTTTTCATTTTCCCATCACTCTGTGCAGGCACTATTTCACTATGAATCTTCTTGCTCTTGTCAGTATCCTTGGCCCAAGATGGTAGTGTATTTGTGATAAAAATGCCCATCTGAAGGGAATGTTAACATGTTTTAGGCTATTGCCTTTTATATTTGTCTCTGTGTTCAAGACCACACAGGAAGAATATTTTGCTATAGCTTATAGCAGAAAATTTTGGGGAGAACTTCACCTTCATTATTTGTGGAGAAAGCAACAAGCCATAGTACATTTTTTACACCTTTTTTTTTTTATTAGACCTTGGGCATTCATGTGCTGAAATTAAGTCCATGTGCATGGAATCACTGTTATTGATATTAACTTGACAAAGTAGTATGAGTTTGTTGATCTTGTGTTTTTACATCAGAGTTGGTAAGAGAAATCTTGTAAAACAAAAAAACAAGAAAAAGAAATGTTGTGAATTTGGTGAGTTTTAGAAAAAATTGCTTGATATTTATATTAACAAAGCGTGTGTGTTAATGGATTTATCAGTCAAATGTTAGTGACTATAAATATTTTCATATGTGAAATAAAGCTAATAAGCATATTGATACTGACAAATTTTGAGGAGCCTGTTTTCAGCTTCAGAAAAACATGAATTTCAATCACAGTTGGTTTTTAAAAACTAAGGATGTCTAGTTATTTTCCAATTTATTTAACTGATTGGACAAAAAGGCAATAGAATGTTAACATAGTAAGTTTTTGGTATTAGTAGTTATCTTAAAAGGCTTGATGTTGACCATTATTAAAATCTAGCCTTTGCTCATTTAAAAATGACCCATTCTCATTCTTTTGTTTTAAATAGCCCTGAAAAACCCATGAGTGTGAAAATAAATTTGGAAGATGAACCGACAAAGAAATACATGGATGCTGAAACTTCATTATAGAACTGAACTCAGAGGAATTATATAGAGACATTCATATATATATATATATAAAAAATGTGTGCGTGTCATGTCACTATATATAACGATGTTGTATGTCATGCTGTTGGTGCATGACTGCTGGGTTCTTTGAAGTAGTGTCTGCAGTTTGTTATGAGCACCATGGAGACTGTGTATATAATGGAATAGTCTCCTAGAAGTGAGGTACATGGTTCTTATCATTCAAATATTTATTCTGTTGGAAGAAAATGCTTTTTTTGTTGTTCTGCTATACAAAGACGGGGGAGATGCATTCAGTCCGTTTTCCTGAAGTCTCCGTTCATCAATGGTAATTCAAAGCGCCCTTGAGTGACATATGCTTTGTCCGTGTATTTATAATTTGTTTCCTATATACTCACAATGATGAAATAGTTTATGGCAGCGCTTTATGGGAATAGCAGGGGGTCTTTATGTGGGGAAAATGGCAACAAGGCTTCCGTGTGTGTGTGTGTATGTGTGTGTGTGTGTGAGAGAGAGAGAGAGAGACAGAGAACGAGAGCACGTTCCTGTTGGTGCAGCTGTCCACCATGCTTCACAGCCAATGGCAGGTTCTTGACCATAGGAGTGACCGTGGAACAATGCAGACTTTCTAGATAGGAGCCATCGTTTTCAGCCTTTATGTTGTGGGAAAATGTTCTGAATCTTTAAGCTTCCATATCCACATTTCCATTTTGACAGGCGAATAAAATTACAGTTGATTTTTTAGTTTAGCATCCATGCCAGGCATAATTTTAGGAGCCACAAAAATACCAGTTTGTAAGTTTTGTTACTTTTGGAGAAAACCCCTTTTTTGAGTCCCTAAGCTGTTTTTAGAGCCCCTGTTCCCACTCAGTTTTCTGCGTTAACTCTCTTTAACTTAAAATGGGTTAGTTGGATCAGGTTCAAGTGTTCTGTTATTTCCTAACATAAATAGTGTAATTAAAAGAATGAGGCCTCAGAATTCTCTCATGGGTTTATAATCAGTATTACTTTTTATTCAGAAATGCCTTTTCCCTGTTTGTTATTTCTATTGTATAGGTTATTTAATAAGTTGTTACTTGCAACTTCATTTTAAACTACTATTTATTTCAATTGATATGCTTATATGACATAAATATTTGAAAGGGTAACAAATTTATAATGAGTTCTCAGTGTACCTATTTGGTGCTCACTTGCGTTTGTTATCTAAAAGCAGTTGATAGATTTTGCATCTTTGATATAAAGTACTGCCATATTTGTATTCACAAAGGAAATTGGACTTTTTATGTATAGCACAAATTGATGGGGTTTTTTCTGTTTTGTGGTAGGATTTGTAATTTTTAGTTTTCCTGAGCTGTTTTTATCTTCTGACAAATATTTTTAGCCATCTTTGATGTAAACCTAGCTCCTCATGAAGTAAGTCATAAGCCTGTAGGATTGGATGAATGGGGTTGTGAAACTGATTTGGCAAGAGAATAATTCAGAAAATCAAGACAAGGATTGAGAAGCCTCAGAAATACTGAAAATGGTGACACGAATATCAGTATCCACATTTCAGTGAGATTCCAAATATCCCCTTTAATTATTTCTAATATAAATGAAAAACCATGAAGAATTGATCATGAGGCATGCCAAAAGCTGGTATTTTAGCAGTTCCTAACTAGCATTAAGTAATGTAGTTTCCCCATCTGAGACCATGTGGTTCAGTTCTGGTTAGAACGGACTGCGCTTCTTGCTCAGGTGAGCTGTTGGCAGTGTAGCTGCTTTTCTCTGGACAGCATGGCCGGGATTACTTGGTACCACCTGAAAAGGGAGTTAGGCTCTGGGCAGCTGATGGAGAATTTCCCATGGTGCTTCTTGGTGATGAGCTTCCACTGAAGTGATTGCTTTTTATTCATAGCAGCAGAATGATTTTCCGAGTTCCCAGTATTTGCTGCTATTTTTTAAGTCCCCTTCCCCTCTGAAGTTTCTGAACAAGAGGATTTCCTCACCTCATTTCCTTGTGCTTGGACTTTAACAGGTTAACCATTGTACTTGTTTTACAAGGAAGTGATTTTAAAGTATAAAACTGAAAACTACCTGGGATTGTAAGTGTTCTCTCTGATTTTATTTAATCATGTATCACAATTATAAGTGCCAGAAAAACCATGACTTGCAAACTACTTTGCACTCAAAACATTTTTCTGTGTTCCCTGATTGTTAAGCATTTCTGCTTCCTTTTGACTACTTGACTTGGAAAGTGATCTGTCAATGACTACTCCATTGAAGAGCGAAGTAGTAAACTGCTTGATTTAGATATTTCTTCCACTATTTTCCAAGAAACATCAGTCATGGAGAGCATTCATTGCAAGACAGTGAAAGGTTTTTAAATGTTGCCTTAACTAGGGTGTGTAATGAGCACTAGTAATCGCTACGTACTGATTTACCTCATGGTGCAAAATAATTAAACCTGCACAGATTCCATTTGCAAAAATAAATTCCCATAAACAGCCCTGCACTTTCTTAGCTGCCTTGATTTCCAGAATGGAGCTTAGTGCTACTGAATCCCCTGGCCACCGGGCCGCCTCAGGATAGTCTCCACCCTGTTTTATTTATTTATAGATGTCTGTTTACAAAGACTATAATAAATCCTGGTGTAGATCATCTGAAATTTACTTTCTTCTCAGTGCTGTTTCAATCTAACGTAGTAGCTTTTGAGAAACAACCAACTTTCTTACAGAAAGGGATAACTCCGTATATTCTGTAATTATCTGACATACTCTATAAGTGACGCACACAATCTTTCTAAGCCGTGTGGGTGTGTGGGTGTGTGCGCGCGCGAGAATGCTTCCAATGTTAAAAATCTGTTAGCATTGTTTTAAAAAAGCTGTAGTGTCCTAAGGTTCATATTTGCCAAGTCTTCTGTAAACTTTTAGACAAAAAATTTTATGTGCTAATGGATGCATTTTATAAAGCAGATTTGTCATTTTCTCTATCCCAGAAACACGAGTTTCCACATGAAATATAAAAAGCTTTTTATTTTTTTTTTCCTTTCACAAAGGCAGGTTCGAAATTCTGTGAAAAGCGAAATGGTGTCTGAGCCTGCGGTGTAACACGTGCATCCGGTCATGCCAGTGCTCAGACTGCGGATGTGTGAGCCTTTGGTCACTCAACAATGTCTGTGTTATGCGGCTTCAGTCTTTTATGTAGGTCACATCCTGGTTATGCTGTACTGTGCAGATACGTGAATCGTCTTCTGGTTTATTGCAACAGCTATTTATTTCTTAGAAAGTAAATTATAAAGACTTTAAGAACACTTAAGATTTAGTGTTCAAATTGCAAAATTTGGGGAATTTTAATGTAAAGTCCATTTTCTGACTTGAAAAAGAGTTGATTGTAAGTAAATAGTTAGAATCATCTACACATCATTTTAAGAAGTTAATTAGCACATATTAAGTTCCATGTTTGACTTGATTTTAAACCCCAGTTTTGTTTTTAATCATATTTTTGCACATGGTTGATTTTTGTGTTGTGGCTTTTATTTGTTTTTATTACTCAAGGCTTTTGTTCTTGGGTTTTTTTCTCTCTTTTTTTTTGGCTGGGGGGAGATTATTTTCCAATGTTTACTGTGTTTAAATAAACAAATGAATTTTACTGTTCATTTATATGATATTTGATACCTTGGTGTAATTTCACAGTACAATTCCAATTTTTATGGCTTTTATAATATTTTCTTTTATAGTAAAATCCAAAGTAAATTAAACATTTAAATTGTAAAACCGATGTTTTCATTTTTATGAAATACAGGTCTCTACCAAGTCTATAATGTGAATGATCCTGCCTTTCAAATTTGTTTCATATGTGTTAAAAGAAAACTATTTTTTTGGAGATGTTATCGAAGTTGAAAGAGCAATAAAAGTCTACGTAATTATTTGTTGGCTGTTGTCCTTTTTTAATCTTCCTCAGCTGGTTGTGGGTAGAGGAGGAGGGACAGTGATTTCTGCTTCCTGCTTTCTAAAAATCCATGAACTTCAGAGTCAGAAAAAGAGGGAATAGTGAAGATGAGGCAAATGTGTACCAGGTCGAGATCTACAGGTGAAAGCTACATATTATGGAGGCTGATCCATTTTTTTTCCTAGAATCTTCTGATCCGTGATCAGACGTGTTTATCCATCGCACCACTGGCCCCATCTCCATTTTTTTCCTATGTTAAAGACACGTGTTCAGTTTGAATTGAATAGGGCCCTACCCTAGACTAGAAGAAATTGTGCAGGAGTTGGATTGTGGTTAAGGTGCTCTAGGAGCTCCCACCCCACCTGCAGATTCTACACTGATCCCATCACTTCCAGCTCCGGCTATTTAGGAAACTTTTTATGGCTGTGTTTCTGTTTTAAGTCTAAACTAGGATGAAAAACATGTGATGTGAAGTGTAAATGAAATAATAGGTGGGATTTTGTAACAGCCCAATGCGTAATTAAACATTGAATAAGTTTGTTCTTTTCTATGGTCTTTAAAGCTCCAGAATATCAAATACCTTCTTTATCTTGGGCGAGTCAGGAGTTGTTTTTGGTTGTTTTGTTTGTTTGACACTTCTGAGCCTGGAAGGCTAAATGACTTGCCCAAGGCCATGAGCTCCAGTTAGTGAAAGGCTAAGATACAGACCTCTCTCACATTTCACTGCTTGGTATTCTCATTTGTTGTATAGAAGATATTTGTTGAATTCCTTTTCAGAGGTCATGTTTGTCTTGAAAGGGAATTGATTTGCTGTTAGTCCACCAGTTATTGAGACTGAACACGCCAGCGTGAAGCTGCTCCTTCCCTCGTATTTTATTTCAAGTGCAAAAGACAGTAGCCCTGAGGCACGGTGCTGCTACATCACAGCCATAAGCACTGCCTTATCTGTCGTCCTGCAGCCTTGGGGCTGCACCCAGAGCGTTCTCTGGTTGCTACAGCAACCTTGGCAGCGTCACCCGTCGCCGTGGCGCTGGGCACTTAGCAGCATGGCTGCACCCGATTGGCCAAGACGCCCCAAGGGGACAAAGCAAGGAGTGTGCGCATTGGCTCAGCCAGCGCCGGTTGATGGCCCGAACGAGGATTTGATTGAAAAACCAACGGTGCGGCTGGCCTCGGTGCCCCTGAGGTTGAGGGGACCGAGAGTGAGCTGAGGGGAAGGTGGAGGCTGGTCGAGATTCCAGCGGACCCTTGGTCCAGAGCAGCAGTAGCGAGGATGACAAGGACGATTTGGAGATTGTTCTGAGGGAGGGACAGTCCCTCCGGCGCGGTGAGTGAGGCGGGAGCCGGGACTCCACCTGTCGGCGCGCGGGGAGAGGCCGCCGGGTCCCTGTGGAGCGTCCCCAAGCCTCGGGAGCCGGGAGCAGGGGCTGTCATGGCTCGCTGAGTCACTGTCTCTTCACGCAGCCGCGTCCGTCGGCCGGCTGGGTGGCGGGAAAGTGAGGTCCGCGAGCTTTGTGGGCGCCGCCGGTCCGGTTAGTCAGAGTGTCTCCAGAACCTGGGGAGACGCCTCCTTGTTGGCCCTGTCTTCCTGTGAGTGCTGCCTTTGCCCGCCTGCTTTCCTGCCGGGACCCTAATTGGCATCACTGCTGATGGCTGCAAAGCCTCCAGCTGCAGAGGCCACACTACAGCATCCTATTGCCAGCGCAGGCCACACATGTACAACCCTAAACGCCATCTTCTCCTGGTCCCAGCAGGCTCACTGCCCCTGGAGTCCTGACTTGCTACCATCACTAGGTCAGTTAGCCAAAACCACATACCAACCCCTTCCTGGTATCTTCCTCAGGTACTAAGCTTGTACCATTTTCACAGATGCTGCATCAATCCCATTATCACCATCTCCATTCTTAATATCTCCTGGTTACGTTCAAAACCAGTATGGCTTTCCAGATTCTAGCCTAGGTCCATCTAAATTCGTTTTCCTCACCATTGTTGGAGAGATTTTTTTTTTTTAAAGCCTGTATAGTTTCCTCCCCTGCTTAAAATCCTCAAATATCCCCCGTTTTTTTAATCCAGTATTTAGACATACTAGCAGCAGACTGTCTGTTTTCAGAAGGGAATGCCGCATTCGCTCCTCTGTGTGTGTCAGCATTGACTGTTGCATTCCCAACAATCCGGGCATGTGGCAGGTATTCGGCAGATGCTTAGAAAAAAAATTTAATTTTTATTTGAAAGGCAGATTTACAGACACAGAGAGATGTGGTAACCGCTAGTTCATGCCCCACATTGCCCCACTCCTGACAGCCAGGCCCATCTGAAATCAGGAGCCCAGAGCTTTCTCGGGGTCTCCTGTGTGGGTGCAGGGGCCCACGGGCTCGGGGCCCCCTTCACTGCTTCTCCGGGTCGCTAGCAGGGTGCTGGACCAGAAGTAAAGCAGCCATGACCGACAGCGTGAAGCAGTGCCCACACGGGATGCTAGCAGTGCACCTAGAAACTTAATCTACTCTGCCGTGGCACTTGCCTCTGACAAATACTAGTTAAGTGAATTAATCTCTTAAAATAGGAAGCTCTTGTTCTTCTTGAGCTGCCTATTTATTCCCCAAAAGCTGGACATAATTTCTGACCAGTGAAGCGTTTGTATATAAAAGCTGTTAGATTTGCAGGTTTTACTTTAATAACAAGATTCTCGTTGGCTGGAACCGATATTTCAATTCTCAGTTTGTACTTCCTGCCATCTTTATTATGATGGTAACAGTTGTTCTATGCTGTGAGTTTAAAACAATGGACATCAGGAGAGAGTGGCAGGGCCGACAAGAGCCACGCCGTGGAGTCGTGAGAAGTGTGGCCCAAGACAGCTTCTTAATCCTTAGAATGAACTGATAGTATCATCTACCTCGTGGGACTGTTGTGAAGTATTTATGCGTGTATACAATGCCAAGCATTTGATGCTTAGCACAGAGTTCATTTTCACATGTGTAAAAACAACCACATTGAAGATAGTGTGAATTTTCCACCTCCAGTTTACAAAAATGTCAATGTCAGTCTTCTGATTCAAGTGCAATTTCTAGCATACCATCCTGTCATTGTACCCCTTGATCATGAACTTTATTAAAAAAAAATATTTGAGTCAGACAAGGAGAGGACAGAGAGATGATATTCCAAAGGCTGGTCCACTCCCCCCAATAGCTGCAGTGGCCAGATCTGGGTCAATCTAAGGCCAGAAACCAGGAGCTTCTCCCACGTCTCCCATGTGGGTACAGAGGGCAAGGACCTGAGCCATCCTTCACTGCTTTCCCAGGCATGTTAGCAGGGACTGGGTTGAAAGTAAAGCCACAGGGATTTGAACTGGCGTCTCTATGGGGGTGCCAGCGGCGCAAGTGGAGGCTTAGGCTACTGTGTCTTGGCACCAACCCTCGTGAACTTTTGTTAATAGCAGCAGCTCTGACCTAAGTGAGAATGTCACTCGTTCAGCAGATATTCACTGACCCTCTGATAGGTGTAGATTCCCATGCCAGGTTAGGATGAGTTGAAAGCACAACACACAAAATCTTTAGGATATAAAACAAGGTCCTAGATTGTTCCTGCTGCCTGACTGAGCAGCTGGTGTTTTGAGGCTAAATCTGGGGTGAACCAAATTGGGCACTTGGACAGGCAGAGAGGACCTAGCGGTTCCTGCAGGCACCTGTGCGTACAGCAGGGAGCAGGACAAAGGTGCTGTTTAGAACAGTTCTTGGGGCAGTAAGGCGGACTGTGTAGAACATAGACTCTGGAGCCAGCCTGCTTGAATTCAGATCCCACCTCTCCCATGCTAAATATATAACCTCTTTCAAATCACTTAATTTTTTTGCATGTTTTTCCTCACCTGAGAATGGGGTGATTTGGACAAATTTTTAGAATAGCAGTGGGTACGCAGGAAGTGCCATGAATAAATGTGTGTTAGATAAGACACAGAAAAAAAAAACGGATGGGAAAATAGGAAGTGTTAACTTGAGAACAGGGTTTAAGATTTTAATTTGAGAATGAGTCTTAGGTTTTTCAGAGAACAAATCTTCCAGATTTGGAAAGTATGCTAAAAACATGTAATTATTGTGGCCTGGCAAGATGGCTCAGAAGCTAATCCTCACCTTGCAAGCACTAGGGTCACTTTTGGCATAGGTCTGTGTCCCAGCTGCTCCACTTCCCATCCAGGTCCCACCTTGTGGCCTGGGAAGGCAGTAGAGGATTGCTCAAAGCCTTAGGAACCTGCACCCACAATGGCCAAAGCTAAGCCGATCTGAAGCTAGGAGCCAGGAACTTCCTCCAGGTCTCCCACATAGGTTAAGGGTCCCAAAGCTTTGAGCCATCCACTACTGCTTTCCTGGCCCACAAGCAAAGAAAGGGCTGGATGGGAAGTGGAGCAGCTGGAATACGAACTGGCATCCTTATGGATTCCTGGCACATGCAAGGTGTGGTTTTAACCACTAGGCTTCTTTGCCGGGCCCTATTTCTGATTTTTAAATTAAATTTGAGACACAGAGATGTGAATAAATATACATGTATCAGATAAACATGCTCCCATCTGCAGGCTCACTCTCCAGATGCTCAGAGCAAACTGAGCCAAGCCAGGCTGAAGACAGAAACCCAGAACCCAATCCAGTCATCACACTGGATTATGGGGACCCAATTACTTGGGCAATTCCCTGCCTTTTTAACATATATTTATTTTTATTATAAAGTCAGATATGTAGAGGAGGAGAGACAGAGAGGAAGATCTTTCGTCTGATGATTCACTCCACATGTGACTGCAACAGCTGGAGCTGAGCCAATCCGAAGCCAGGAGCCAGGCACCTCCTCCGGGTCTCCCACGTGGCTGCAGGGTCCCAAGGCTTTGGGCCATCCTCGACTGCTTTCCCAGGCCACAAGCAGGGAGCTGGATGGGAAGTGGGGTTGCCGGGATTAGAACTGGTGCCCATATGTGATCCCGGCACATTTTAGGCT